ATTACTTCATTTTAAAAACATTTATATTTTTAAAACGTGGTAAATATTTGTAAAACCTTTTCCAAGCAATGGAATCGATATGAATCTCAATGAGCCGTAGTTGCGATGAAAGAAACTATACTAAACTTAATAAAAGAGGAAAAAAACTCAGAAGCACGCAATTTTTTGTTTTTGACTTATTTGTACATCAACCTCCTTGAGTCAAATACGTCCAATTTTGAGCGTTTGGTTGCGCTTACACTACGCTGCAGCACAGTAAAAGCCCAAAACATAAAAGAATAAATTTGAATGCTTTGGAAATCATTAAATTTGATACGGAACCACTATTATATTTACAAAAAACACATTATATTTTCCAGTGGTAAAATTTTCTTTTTCATCAATTTAAATGAGAATAATTCATGCAGAGTTTTCAAACATGTCAGAATTATGAGTTGAATAACGCTGACTCCGCGAGTTTATATATTGGAGCCTAACACAGAGCGGTGCGGTGTGTTAGCAGCGCAGAACGCGCACTGGCGCCTACAAACCTAACGGGATACTTCACGCATTGCGCAACGCGTGAAGTATCCCGTTAGGTTTGTAGGCGCCTATGCGCGTGTCACGCTGGTTGCCTGCCGCGCCGCAACGCTTTAAGCAACTATTTCGCGTCAGAGGCGTTGAACAGTATCCTACAAGATTGAAGGCGCACGAAATAACTAGTCGAAGAAGACTTTCAATTTTGACTGCATCTGTTACTGAAAAATGTTTGATTAGGCATTGGAGCGTTTCCTAGGCTCCCGCTTTGGTTTTCATCTCATCATATCCGTACACTGTACACATCAACATATCGACGGTGAAACTACCAAACCACGTATCTCGTTTGCGGTGTTTAAAAATCTACGCTCGCATTTTATTTTTTTGAGGTAGACCAAATCAATATCATTCCTTGAAATTTTCACAGAATTTTCTCCGCACGAAGAGGAAAAATCACAGAAATTTTCAAGACTGGACGTTAAGTAGTTTTTCATTTAAAAAATAAAGTATGACAGGAAGTCTGCGACGTCGCAAACCGAGATACGTGGTTTGGTAGTTTCACCGTCGATATGTTTTTTTCTGTTCTTAGAGTCTGTTCTCTTTCATGACTTGATTCATGAATGAAATGTTTTTAAGAATGAAGGTAGTAGTAGTATGCATTTATTTTTGAGATGGTCCCTGTCATTTAAATGAGAAGAAAACATGTGAACATAACATGTCCACAATTTGGACAATTTTGGACATATTCATGGTTGGACATTTAATCATGTGGACTTAATAAAGACTGGACTTAACGTTCAGTGGACATAAATAGCGGTGGATATTTATTTAATGGACGAAAGTTAGGTGGGCATAAAGTCCTAGAAGCGATTTTTTATTCGATAATATTGGGATGATAATCTTCGTCGATAAACTTATGATTTTATAGCAAATTTATGCCATGAGTCGCAATTTTTTATTCGATAATATTACAATAAATCGACGTCAATATAAAATCGGAAAAATTTTGGCAAATAAGCGATGATCATGATTAAGGCCTTTTCAGCAGCAGCGATATTTGAATGTTGGTAACACTGTTTTTCTCCATTTACATATTCTGTGTGAGCCAGTTTGCCCCACCTAAAATTGACGTTCTCAATGGATTTAAATTACACAAAAGCAGTGTTGCCAACTTGCAAAATCACTACTGCTTCTCTATGATGCCAGCAGGAATCGACAAATGATTTCTATTAGTCTACCAGTTATCCTTTTTTTTCTCAATGATCATGTCCTTTTTAAATGAAAATGGACGTTTAAAGTTATCCTAAAATTAATTGGTTCATGTATCATGTTTCATATGTTTCGTATGTATGTCACATTCGTATGTTTTATATGTACCATAGAAACCATGTAAAAAAAAATTCTCCCCGAAAGTTAAATAATTTCAAATCTTGGATAAGTTCCCATTTTTACGGATCCACAAAAATCAATATCCATTCTGAAGTTCGAACCATATTTGACGTAACAATTTGTAAGAGCTGCAAATATATGTCTTGTACCTATCTACGTGAATTTAATTCATAATTATATTAAATTTACAAGGGTATCAAGTAACAAAATAATGTAGATAATACAAATCATCTAAAAGAACAGGAAATATGGAATTCTCTGATTCTTTGTTTGAGAAATTAAGTGTAAAAGTTTACGAGTTTAAATTATTTATTTCTTCATTTTTCCTTTCGCACTCTAATCACACTTTCATTATTATCCTCGGAACCATCAGTGGATCAAACCAATTGGCAACATTGTTTTTCTTCCATTCAAACGTATGAAAATGTATCGATTCTTGCAGGAGTCATGTGCTACTACAAGAATCGATTATTTGACATCGGTTTAAATGGCGAAAATCCGGTGTTGTCAAATTGCTAGATCCGCTTCCGTACCGAACCGTTTCACTTGAGCGTTATTTTAAGATTCATGCACTACAGAATTCTACTTGCAGACTAAATCTTCATGGGAGCTCAAGAGTTTTCTACCTTTCTAATATTTTTACTCAAGTAGCACTATCTGAGAGGTTTAATGTTTCTTTATTTCCATAATTTTCTATTTTACTCTTGTATCTTATCATTGTTTCAGCAATCACTTGCCTCACTATGGTTTTAAATTTTTTAGAATATCCATCTCAAAATGTTTATAGATCACTGCTCTAGTATCGCTAACGATTGATTTTTTTTAAGACCAAGTCCCAATTTCCGTTGAAGCAGGTCACATTAATGTTAAAAACGCTAATTTCTTCATGCTCAAATATTAAAAGAGTGATTTTTTTCCCAGGCACTACGGCCTTGGTCGCAATAATAGACGGATCCCAGTTAATTGTGGCGAATGTTGGTGACTCTCGGGGTGTCATGTGCGACTCTAATGGAGATCCAGTGCCATTGTCGTTTGACCAAAAACCTGATAGGGTAAGTTTCAAAGGAGGGTAATACAATCATAATCACTTCCCACTTGAAAAATGAAGATAGTGCATCCCAATGTATGTGCAATTTCACCACCCATAGAGTATTCTATAATATTTGTTTCTTTTTTCCCCTTGATAATTCTGAAAATATTATCTTGTAAATGGTGCATTGTTTTTATGTCCACATCAAAAATCAACGAATCGAGTGCCTAGAGAGAAAGAGTAAGGACCTGTCGAAATATGAAGAGGGCCGGAAAAGGCGGTCAACCTTCTAACACATAAACTGCCGCTGCCAATCTTCAGATTCTAATATCAAACCAAGATGGCTAACAAAGCTCATAAATAAGCGTCCTTCCACAAATATGAATGAAGTCATATAACTTTTTTTTTTTTGTCACGTGACCTCAAATAAATTTACAATCAAATATAAGGTTGGGTCCGTCGTGGAACCTTACAAAGAGTAAATATTAGATATTAAACACAAGACAGAGTAAACATTAGGGGGAAGGGGGAATCTGAGACTTTTTCAAGAAGTATACTTCAGGATTACCGATGTTGAGTTAAGTAGTCAGGGAAGCTGAGATCTAAAATAACTTGAGTTTTAGGGTGGCTGTTCTTTTGGGACCTAAAAGCTCTATGATCTAACCTCAAAATTACCGACGTGCCAGTACTCTCCCCTTGTAGGAACTCTGTTACCAAAAAAAACGTAAACACCAAAAATACATTTACATGCGAGTGTATTAAAAGCTATCAGGAAACTTCTTTAGGTGGTCACCAAATCATGATCTTTGTACATCAAATTTAACCTTGAATATCTGAGAAAATTTTCGATCGAACTGAAAAAAAATAAAAATAATAAATAAAAAATAATTGAATAATTTTCAGCTTACGCCGCGTGCTTGAAAAAGAATAAGGAGTTCATTTTGACACGACCCTCGTTCTATGAGTTGAATGAATGGCAAACAGAGTTGTCGACTGTAAGAATTGAGAATAATGTAGAAAGAAAACTTTGGTCGTAAGGACAACGTTAAAAATGTAGGGCATAGAATACCAGCATCGTTAATCACTTTTCGAGAAAAAGTAAAAAGTAAAAAGGAAAAACAAAAACAACAAAATCATCTAAAGTTTGACAAACCGAGTGAGAGGTGGGGAAGGGGTGCAAACCAAAATTGCGATTTAATGAAATGAATTGAGATTTTTTTTATACATGAAATTGCACTATTTTTTACTGCGATACTATTATATTTTTACATCATTCGGTCACTATATGCCCATTTTAAACGACCGATGAGATGAGCGCCATGTATCAGAAAGATAGGCAATTTTCAATGCAAAGAAAAATTGAAAGTAACTTCAATGTCAATGAGAGGCGCCCCTTCAACCAGTAGATAGGCAACAAATCTAACACTCTAATGCAGCAGCAATAATTTGGCCGAGTTTAGCAGAAAAGAACCAAGCCACATCAGTTTTTGCAAACTTTAACTGAGGAATACAATTTTTTACAAGAGAACGTTTGTGCGGATTTTTCTTGAAATTTGTAAGGAATTTGCCTCGTGCTGTGCAGAAAATTCGCCGAGATTTAAACACAAATCCTCAGAACCGTTTTCATGTAAAAAAAATAATCGCCCGATTGACTTTGGTAAGGGTTAATGTGGCTTGGTCTCTCTCTCCAAACGCGGTCCAATTTTACTATGTCATTGCAATTTAATGCAGAATGCCAGTAGATAGGCAATGGATGTTATGTTATGTTATGTTATGTTATGTTATGTTATGTTATGTTATGTTGTGTTGTATGTTACCTTGCATGTGTTTAGTTTATAAGAGTAATTGTGCATTGATTATCATTGAACAGAAAGACGAAGCCGAAAGACTCGAGAAAGCAGGTGGGAGGGTCTCGTGTGACGATGGAGGCATCACTCGATTGAATGATTGTTTTGCGATATCACGATCTCTTGGCGACCAGGCCGAGAAACTCAAACATCAACTGATCCCGGACCCTGAAGTTTTTATTTTCGATCTCTCCAAGTATAAGCCCAAGTTTATAGTTTTAGCTACCGACGGTCTCTATCATCACTTGACCAACGACCAGGTTGTCGCTTTCATTCATCAACGACTCCATGAAGATGATTTGGGGGCAAAAAGTTTGGTGCGTTATGCTTACCTGCTCGGAGCTAGAGATAATATCACGGTCATGGTGATTTATTTCGAAAACGACAAATGGCCTCCGAATCCTAGGAATAGTTGGACGACTATGATACCATCGGTTGTTAGACGAAAATATACCGAGGTGTTCGGTTACCCAGTCGAAAAACCTTGAAGTAATATTTTATTAAGCTTTCAGAAGCTTACAAATAGTCGGGGAAATAAGTTCAATAGTTTATTTATAGAATATTGTACTATTCTTGATACCTACAATCTTTTTAGATAGAAAGAAAAAACTTGTGCCAATGTTCAATTTTTCCTAAAAATCCAGATTAAAGAAATAAGATTACCGCAACATTGAAATAATCTTCGAAGAGAAGCTTAATTTTTTAAGATGAACCGAACATTCTATTAACCTTGAGAATAACATCAATCCGAGAGCTGGTCGTATTAAGCTTTCTTCAATCTTGGGGAGCGATTTGAGACACAAGCTTTGGAGAATAATATTCCATCAAGTTTGAGCTTATAAAATTACAATAATATTTCTTGTTTAATCTTGTGGCTTAAGCTTTTAAGAATAAGATTGAAAGAAAAACCTCGTGTCGACATTCAAATCTTCAAGCCACCAGAGTGTGCTGATGCTTGTCATCTCTTCAGGCCAAATTTCAGGCTTTCTAAAATTTATTTCCCCGTCTTTCAACATCTCAAGATTGAGACAACCTTTTGGAAAAAATTGCATCAATGAAATTCCAAGATTGCCTCAAGGTAAAATTTACGATTGGGTAAATGGATCTGTCGCATCAGGCAATTTGCAAGCGGCTCAAATGTTGTTTCGAGAAATTGCATCAATACGCATAAGCATAATGACGGTTTAATGGAAAATATCCTTCAAAGGCACGATCACGAGTTGGAGCGCCTTCATTTCTTTATGATACTGTACGCATTTTTATAGAGTTAGTTTAGTTGCCTATCCGATTCAAACTTAGCCAAAGTCTCTAATTTCATTACACGCTCTTCACACTGTGCCTATTCTTACGACCATATATNACAATAGAACCACCCAACCTGAATGCCTGAAATTTTGTAGGGTATTTCGGTGTGTGGTTATCAATCCATTGAACAATCTAATGGTTAAACTATTCAGAATATCATGTTTTAAAGAAGTAAGGCTACAGTACAGCTATTTTATCACTGAAAACCATGCAATAAACTTTTATTGTTAACTATTGTATTAGGGAAAAATTTAATGGGATGTATCTCTGTTTTGTTGACAGCTTGAAGAGGATGTGGAAGACTGGACAAGGTTTAATATCTTAAATGCGGCGGGCAAAGATAATTTCCGACTGAAATTGAAGAAAGGTGTTGTTCCCCATATTTTTGATTGCCAGCCAGATCGAGTGCAAGCCCATTCTCAGGAGCTAAGGTCTGCCTTTCGAAAGCGCCAAATACTAAGTGAGCTCAAGGATGTCAATTGGGATACGAATGCACGCAAGAACCTTGAGCCAATTTCCAGTCATGAAAGTCAAGCTGAACTTGTGCGGGCCTCTGATGATATCCCTGCCTCAAAATTACCTGCAGTAGCACAAGCAATGGCAACCCAAACTGATGGAGGAGTTCTGGAGGAAAACCTGTGGTCGATTAATGAAGTTGCAGCCCCAGAACTGCCACCAGCAGATCCTGTGTCCTCTCCAACTCCTCTTGAACACTCGCAGCTGTCAAGTGGTTCATCTTTCATGAGTTCCTCTTTCAACCACTCTGTTCTTGCTGACGCAGCATGCCAGGTAACTTGCATTGACAATAGCATTTAATATCTTTTCAGCTTCATGCTTTATGAACTTCCACTCTTTACGTTCTTGAAAACTTAACGCAAGTGGCAACTTTGTCATGTTTCATTAATTTCGGCATGAAACAGAGGAAACTTTCAAAATTTTCAGTAAGTATACCATGGAGAAAGCGTGGCAAAAAATTTTCTTGCAGAAAGTTTCTGCTCTACAGGTGGTGCTTTCGTGTATAACTGCTCTTGACACCACACAAACTTCCCCCCTCCCCTCTTAGATAAAATTCTAAAGGTGGTAGCAATGATGCAACCTAGAGATTCAGTTGTCAAGCAGAAATGTACATCGGCCTATAACGGAATGTTGGTGATATTAAAACAAAGAGTAAACACGTCACAAGACTCAATCTTTTCTATTTCCCTCTGTGCCCCCTAATAAGAGTACATGAACAAAGCTCAGACACCCCTCCCACCACTCTTCCCCGCAACCTTAAGTTGCACATGTGATATTTTAACACCTANNATTGATCACTAAATTCAATATCTGAATAAACATTTTCAATGTTCCAGGTCAGACCTCACTTTCGCAGTAAATGCATTCAGATACAACCCAAAACTGAAGACAAGAAAGTACAAACAATGGGCTCCTGTATGTGCTTCAGCAATGTGCAGAATGAAGAAATGGAAATTAGTTTTGAAGAGGACCAGGACGTCGAATCGCAGTTGAATAAAAGTAGTGGAAGTATATTTTCTTTAAATTCTTCTGCTTTGGATGCTGGCTGTGCGGATGAAGATACCTCAGAAGATGATGAAATGGCTTTAAACTACTTGAAGGCTTCATATTGCGACTCCACTTTGAGCATCATGGAGCTGCAACCCAGACTTTTCTTTGGAATTGATCCTGTAAATATGTCCATTATTTCTTTCCTTCAGAATTACGGAAAGTTGTCAAAATCAGAAATATACATTTCATTACGAAAGATACGTTTGAAGGAGCCTAATAGCTTGTTATCGCTGTATTTCAATTTAAGTCCTAGCTCGATTTCAAGAAGTATTAACAAGGCGATGCCTATTATGGCCGCGTTTTTAAAGTCATTTATTTTTTGGCCTAATAGGGAACTGATTCAGAAGAATGTGCCGCCAGCTTTTTTTTCGAAGTATTCAAAAGTAGAGAGCATCATCGATTGCTTTGAAATTCAAATTCAGAAGCCATCAGATGCCGAGAAGCAAGCAGCGACATGGTCTAGCTATAAAGATTGCAACACTGTTAAATATTTAATCAGCATGACCCCAGATGGCCTTGTCAATTTTGTGTCTCGGGGCTACACAGGTCGAGTAAGCGATCTGGCAATAGTGAGGAAAAGTGGTTTCATGGATGTCTTAAGAGAGGGAACTGTGGTGATGACTGATCGAGGTTTTAAGGAAGTAGAAGCTGAATTACGTAAAAAGAAATGTATACTAGTAAGGCCACCAAGTGTCGCCAAAGATACTAAACACACAGAAGAAGAGGTCAAGCTGACAAAGTCAGTAGCAAGCCTCAGAATTCACATTGAAAGAGCCATTAGACGGGTTAGAGAATACAAATTCCTTGAGCCTCACTCAACGATAAATCATAATTCCCTAGGTATCATTAATCATGCTGTCAACATAGGTTGTGCTCTTGTTAATTTACAAGGGCCATTAATCCGATAGGCTGATTACAGTTCCTTTGTCAGGGGTAAAATTACAGTTGAGTCTGCTAGGCCCAGACAGCTCTCCAATTTAATGAACCAATGAATGCATCTCAATCTTGTCTCTTGACTTAAAGTCAAAGTCTACTTTGAAAGTAATGAGATAGTAGGTTTAATTTTTTTTTTTTTACTCCCCTTACACAAGCATTAGCCGTACCTTAAAAAATGAAGTTTCTAAGTTTACTGTGTTTGTTTGTAAGTTTACAGTTTTCAATGAAAACCAATAAATCAAGTTTAATTTTAATTGTGTTGTAATTAATGTATGATTAGTAGAACTTTAAAGCCTCTAAGTTGAAACATTTTGTCATCTCAAGAAGATTTAAGAAATAAAAATGTGATTTTAATAAAAAAAAAAAAAAAAAAGTCGATTTCTTTTAATTTTCATGTAAATAATCTCCTAATATTGAAAATGGACCAAGTTGCTATGCTAACAAATTGTGTCACTTGGGAGAAAGAAGCGTGGAATCAGAACGTGACTTGCAAACAATTTCATTTCCTCCAGAATTTATGGTAAAGTATTAGACATAGATCAAGAATAAAAAGAAAAGAAAAAACCCTGAGGCATAGTTTATGCACAGGAAACAAAATTTAATCTCAAAACAACTCTTAAAACTCTGCCTGATGATTAAGACTTTTTCTGAGATGAATTATCTGTACAAAGTGCCCTCTTTTTTTAGTTATTCGCACATTCATTGATAAGCCTCTCGTTACTTCAGTTATGGACACTCTCAAAGGTTGAAAGTCATTTTTAGTGCAAGTGATTGTCATTCATTACTGCAGTTCTAAACTTTCTTTCCCAGGTATTCAAGCAGCATAATCTCTAGGTTGACTTTCTTTCAAAATGACTGAATGAATGAATAAATGAATTCAGAAAGTTGTTTAATGGCTTATTGCATCAATTTACCATGATTCAGAAAACGCAACTAGTTTGTAGAGATGCATTTTATTAAGAAACATAAAAATCGGTTACTAATGCATTTCGAGGTCTATCCTGTCATCAGAGCTTTATGAATTTGGTAGATAAGAATCCAGAACTTGTGCATTATGTTTTACACTTTTACAGCAATGTTCAGTCATAAAAAGGACAGTGTCAGTGACTATGAAATCATATCTACTTTTAAAACAATTTCAATAAATTACCTGTTCTGTTCAAACTGTACTATGCTGCTTTACTGAAAATATTATAAAATAATGTGCGACTTTATATTTATTGTTTACGTCAAAATATAATATAATATCTATGAACATTGTTTTAAAAATGAAAGATAAAATATAGCATACTACGTAATTTATCCACCAAATTTATAATGCTCTGAAGGTGGATTAAACCACGAAATGCTTTAGTTACTAATTTAAAAAGAATACTGCTAGGTTCACAATCTTCTGCAGGGTAAACGATGCTGAACAGTGCAAAAAATTTCCATAAGATTTAAGAAAGAGGACATCACCGTTTACTTTTTCACTGATTCTCATTAGAATTTGAAAGTTTCTAAGAATCGGGAATTTTTGCAACTCTTTGACCTTGTTTTGCCTTCAGAAGAGGGTGAAACCAATACTAAGATACCAATTTGTTGCTAACGTTTGAGGCAACATTTTCAGTAGTTTTTTATTCTTGTATGTTGCAAGGACTGCATTTTGCAAAAAGAAGCCAAGAGCATTCCAGTGTCACTAAGATTGTGCACCTTTTTTCCCTTTCAAATGTAGACTGTTTATGTTAACAAGTTTCATCTTTACTCCCCATAAACTATAAATTCAAGGCAAAAATTATATTGATAAATTTAATGTTTTTCTGGGATTCAGTAAATTTAATTCACAGAAAGTTTGTTGCACAATCCTAGCAACATTTTATAGAGCCTTTTTGCAAAATGTAATTTATGTGGCATAGTAGGGGTAAAATGAATTTTAAAAACAATAATTATCAGTAGAGGTTGAATACTTAATATATTCGCATTCAAGTCAAATTCGTTTCACAAGAATCAAGAGACAAAAGAATTTTCAAGCTGACAAAACTTATGTGTAAAAAGACAAAAAACATGGGTACAAATTTACACTATGTACAGACAAGAAACAAATTGACACTATGTACAGACAAGAAACAAATTTACACTATTTACAAACGACTGAAGATGCAACCTTTGCGGCAGGGAAGTATGTGCAAATTATTATGGACATTACAGTCAGAAACTAAGATTGAGAAGCTATTTATGTACAGTCCCAGGAATTAATTTTGAAAATATACAGTAGCAAATATTCAATTAATTAGGTGCATCACACAGTTCAACTGAAGTATTTGATTACAAAATTTTTACACTTATCAGAATTTGCATGAAGACATGCTCAGTTTGTGAAGTTTAGTAAAATAAGAACATCTGAGTATGTGAAATTAAACTGATGCATACATCACCGGGAAAATATTAGTTGACCAAAACGTTGTACTTCTAGCTAATACTGGATTTAGGAATGCTACATCTTTTGTCACATACAGGATAGTTATTGCTTGGGACGTTGCAAAGTCCGGGTGGGCTACGCAAAAAATGCCTTTGGGCTTTTTGGCAAGCTCCATTTGCAAATGGATTTGGGCATTGCATTTGTTGGAGGGTTGGGTTTTATCCTTATTAAAATAGGTATTAAAGGTCTTTTCAGTGCTAGGGCACTTGACTTCTACAACATACTCATCTATGATGCTGTCAGGAGAAGCGCCAAATGCAGGGAGAGAGGAATCCAGCCATAGACCACTTTTCTTCGCTCTCCTGCCTAATTTCCTTTCAAGAACAGCCACAACTTTTGGCTCAAGTTCTCTTCCTCGCTTCATGGCTTCGGTGTCAGGGATCCCCACCGCACCCAAAATTGCCTTGGATGTTGATCCATCCGGGGTGTTGCAGTTGGAAATTTCCCACAACCGAGAGGCCGTGTTCCTGCCATATCGATACCTAAACCACGCTGTATCTTCCCCACTCGCTTGTTCCCTGGTACATTCTTCTACTTTCCTACATAAATCCACAGTCATCATTTTCGGGCAATATTCCTTCAGGAAGCTGTCGGCATTGTGGATCGCCTCAGTCTTCTTGTAACCTAGCATTAGATCATGCATTGAAACAGGGGGTAACTTTTGATCATCTGAGTAATACTTTACTATCGTAGCCGGGCTACCACTTGCTTGCAGATTAGCAATGAAGCTATTGCGGAAATGCTTGAGAAGATCTGCTGTTGGCTCTACCTCGGGTTTCCGCTCCGGCACCAAATCGGAAATCTCAAAGTTTGCTTGGGTTACAGCGGATAGTTTGGGGCGTTTCCAAACACAGGGTTTCGAAGTGACTGATTCACCAGCGCTTTTCCTGTGCAGCCAAGCGACGAAGGCAATTATGTGTTTGCATCCTCCTGTAACAAACAAACAAGGACAAACGCATTAAAAAAAATGACTTTTTACCTCCTGCTACTTAAAAATGAAGTTTGAGATGTTCCACTTTCAGGCAGAGTTTATTAGACAGGGTTGCCACAAAAATTTGGAAATTACTTCCCCTGACTTTTCCAGGTTTTCCCTGACGAAAAATTGAGAAATTCCCTGACCTTTGAGAACGCGCGCCATGATCGCACAGCCAAATTTACACCTTGCTAGCTACCATCGCACTAATATAGCGTCTCATTTGAAACGCGCTTAAGCTAAGGAGTCAGAAATTAATTGTAGAACATTTGGAAGTACAAAAAGGGTTGTTAACTTTTTCTCTTAATTTTGATGCTTTTGACTTGAAATAAAGTATGATAGGAAGTCTGCGAGGTCGCAAATCGAGTTATGTGATTGCCGACTTACACCGTCGATATTTAGATTGGACTTGCCTGAAAGCAGCTCAGGAGAAAAGTATACGTCATTGCAAATCTGTGTATCAACATGTTTTCCAAAAATTCATGAGATAATGAGGCTGCTGCAAAATAAAACTGAAAAACCTTTTAGCCAGAGGTCATGTTAGATCCCACCCATTTCTTGATCCGTTCACTGCCCACAGTGTCTTTGATTTCCTAGATGTAAATGCAGTAAGATAATGATAAAACTACTGTTCCGCAAAACCCACTCTACAAATTCATTACTAATATTATGTTTTTGAGCACAGAACAGAGAAGGGTTCAACTTACCAGCACTTGCAATGCAATCTTCACACCTTGCTTCGATAATGTATTCTTTTTCTTCATCGATTTTGCAGTAGACGTGATAATTTTTCCCATTGACACTTTGTTCAGGGGACATCTCAGCTCGCGCTATACAAATTTCTCCTTCCCTTTTGATGCAGCAGTAACCCAGGGCAACATCCGCGTAGGTTTCATTGGTTGCTCTGTAAAATAAAACACATACAGAATCAAGATTAGTTGCATGTAGTAGGTGTTGCAAGCAGATGCTGTGCAAGACAAATTACACATTCAGAACCCAAGGCAAGCAGAGCTTTCATGTCTGATTAGCTTATGAACATAACATGAAATGTAGAGCTGAATTCCAGTCACCGAAGCGAGTTATTTGGAGTGTCCCTCTTTGCACATGTCAGCTGCTTGGTTTGTTAGAACTAAGCTCATTTGAATAACTTCAACTGTTCATATCTTTTCATTTCTAAGAGTATATCTGTTAATGAGGGGCTAATCAGTTTAAATGGAGTTAATAAAGAGAGTTCATTGCACTTCTAGTAAGTGAAATATGAATCCAAAAATTCAGTACCAGAAGAACTCATTCTTGCAAGTACCTACTTTCTATCTTAAAGGAATTCAGGGTGTATGCAATGAATACCAGGTTCCCTTAGAGTTTAGACATGCATGAATTTTCAGCCTGTTTGTTATGAACAGATACATTAGGTTTAACAGCCATGCAGCTGTCGAGTTCACTGGAGGTATGGATACGTCAGGCTACGGGAAAACCGAACTTGTCATCAACACAATCTACATACCTAGCTAAGTATGTGTATTACAAATGATGGACTGGTTCACCCAAGAAATAGATCGATGGAGATTCAGCAGAATTACAGTTCCCCAATAGTGAATATACAGCATAAATGAGGAAACTGGCTAGTCAGCTTGTCGCTCACTCTTAGAATAACGCAATGGACCGATGAGCATTCTGATAATCGCCCCAAATAACTGGTACGGCAAGACACATTGGAGGACTAAAGAGGTGCAAGGCATGATAGATTCATTTCAGTGCAGAGAAAACTACTTCATTTCTTCATGAATGCTTTGCAAGTTACAGGATGTGGTAACTTAGGAAACAGTCTGAAATATGAAGTACATGCAGCATTGCCAGTTTTCTGTTGAGGTTAGGTTGGATGAGTGACACCAAATCGGTAAAATGAAAATCGGAGATCATACATAAAATAGTACTTGACTACGGAAATATGATTTCTATAAGATTACACAAAGTATAGGGTGAAATAATAGTATGGTACTTTACCTTTCAGCCTTCCGATTCTTGACCCCAGGTATCATGAACATGTCCGAGGAGAAGAAATCTTGAAGCATTTCGGCGTCAACTTTCGGTAAATTCCGGTCATCGGCTTTTTGGTAACCGTTCTGGACACCTTTCGGCATGATTTTCAACAGTATTTTCCAAGGAAAAAAGATAATTTCAACACTTAAAATAGCACGACAGATCACGATTCGGCTCGGTAAACACACGGACAAGATAGCAATGATGGCGGTGGGAGGGGCCTCGTATACCAACTGACGTCACAGCCAATGGAAATCGTTTATTTCCTACCCCGATTTTGCGACTTTTCACCGAGCTTTTTCGGAGCTTTCGACTCAATTTCGGAACTTGCAAATGCGAAAAACGGCTTTTTCGCGAAAAGTTCTGTAGGAATAAGTCATCACATCTGAAATCCCAGCTGCATGCAACTACCCCATTCACCTGACTGTATCTTTTCTGAGGAGGTTACATAATATGGTAGATGAGGGGGGAGGACGTAAGAAATTGCCGGTGTGTTTCCAGAAAGTGAGCATTTAAAAAAAAAAGTGTTCTTAATCTTCAAAAACATAGAAATATCATATACACTCTTTAACAAACTTTCAAAATCATCTTTTAAAATACGGGTCAATTTGACTCGACTTCACACATACCAACGATGAATAAACTGCAAAAATACGTACCGCAGAAGTGTTTATAAATCTATTGTCCTTTCTTCTTTTTTCAAGAAAAAAAATGAAATGAGATCAAACCAACATTGTGCCCCGAACAGAAAATTCTTCACATAGAGAGGAAAAATCACCGAGGTTTCCAGGAAATAACGTTGAGTAGTTAATCTTTTGGAAAATAAAGTATGGCAGAGAGTCTACGACGCCGCAAACTGAGATACGCGTCTTTGCAGTGGCACCATTCTTGAAACTGACTGTTTATAACCTGCATTATAGTAATTGACGTATATATTTTTTTTAAACAAGAGTCTAGTTTTTGGAGTATCCGCCCTTGGGAAATTCGTAGCGATGCATACGAAAAACTTATGAAGGGATCCAAAAGGGGCGCATTCGTATTGGTTGAGAGGAAGAAATTTGAGAAGCGATGGAATAACATTGAAGTGTATGCAGCTATCGGCGCTCGATCATATATAGAGGATACGTTCATTGCCTACGAAAATGCGCGGGGCACTGGTGCATCATTTTTCGGAGTTTTTGATGGACATAGGGGTGACGTAAGTTTAATGAAATCATGAACCAATCTATTCATTTATTTTGGAGCATTCAATTAGCTGAGACGTCCTCTGGCAAGTGGCAACACTTGGTATCCTTGCAATAACCGAATGAGGAGTTCTTGCCTTCATACATCCAAAGATAACTGTAGATTCCTAAAAAGGTAGCAGTTGAAGACAAACAAACCTCGACTTTTTCTTTTTAGGAAAAAACACGAGGAATAGAACCTTTCTTGCATTGATTTCATTCTAAAATTAAGTTCGTTGAGGATGGTATATTTGTATCCTCAAACTGTAGATTCCTAAATAGAAAGCTGTTGAAGGAAACCGACCTCAACCTCTTTTTTTTAAAAAAAAAAATAAAAATAAAAATAAAATGACAAATGACGAGGAATAAAACATATCTTAAAATTGATTTCATTTTAAAAATAATTTCGTTCAGGATGGTATGTTTTTCTTCAATTTGACTGCCAAAATTTTAGTCAGCACATTGTCAGGTGCATTTGATAAATAAGTACTTAAAGAAGAATTCTTCTTCTTCTTAATATTCTCATTTTACTCAGGCGTTGTAAAAACTCGCCTGATTCGTAGATGTGATCAAGTTACTGGTAAAAAATGGGCGCTTCGATTTAAGATTACTGTCATCCGGCGCTCAGTTATCCAGTGCTGCAGTTATTCGGTGGACAGCATCATTTTTTGTTTGTTATTTTTAAGGACATTTCTTTCCTTTAAAACCTCACTAATCGCTGACCGCACTTATTCAACAGTATGCTGCAATCTATGCACGAGACAGGCTGATGAGAAGAATAATCAACAAAATAGCAGCCGTGAGAAAATTGATCAGGAAAACCAATTTAAACCAGAGCGGCACACCAACAATACCCGAGAAATTGCCACCCGCGCGTGAACGTAAGTTAGTAAGTTTGACTGACACGGACAGATTTTGAAAGCCAAAGTTTTTTGTAGCATTACGCTTTTTATTAATTTTTAAAATGATTTATTTCAATGCGTTCATCTACAATGCAGTAGGTTCAGTTCAGAGCTGCTGCTGAGACGGCTCAAATTTCAAAATTTTTTTGGAGAGAATTTCCAAGCCTCCGAAGGTGGAGTTTTTTCTCGTGCCCTCTCACAACTGATTCTTCGTTCCGCCCATAATTAATTAAAGTTCACCGTAAGTTCATTCGAGATAATCCAACATTTAGGAAATGTTAATTTTTGGAGAGAAAAAAAAATGAAACAGTACCTCGTTGATTAGGAATATATAAAAATCAAGCCTAAAGACTGGAGATCTAGAAGCTTCAGAACGCGGTAGACATTAATACGTTGTAAGTTTGAGGTTTCACTTTACAAAAGGTACTAGTGGCGAGGTATGAATGATCGATTATCGATAGTCCCCCATTTGAAGCTGTGGTAAAGAATCAATTATTAGGGCGTTCGTTGCGAACACCTCGTTTGTGGTTCCTTTTCCATAGTTTAAAACGGCAGACCAATCGATACATCGCAAATCACGCCACACCACTAAAGTATACCGTGATTTAATCCCTAAAATTGCATTCAAACACGGAGGTCTAATCGGCTTTTGGAAAGAGTTTACGCATAATCACTAGATCACTAACTAGGATTATGTTCTAAATATATGTCAAAATATTTTTGTTCTCAGTATTACACATCGGCGGAATAAACTACTGCATGACACCTGAGCCACGTCGGTGGAGGAAAGAAAAATCAGAAAGAGAAAAAAAATCAAATTCAATAGATAACCCCGGTAAGAATACGCTTAATGATACACTTCTATTATAAAGTTCCAAGGCTTGTTAATCTCTCTGTTACGGGTAGATTTAGATTAGTACTCATGAAAAACAATGGGTCTGTTGAATTTAAGAGATGCAGCCAAATAAATATACTCTTTACGCGTAACATCGCACGAATCGTATCGAATTTTCCGGAAAATCTGTTTTCTCGTAAAAACAGGGTTTCCCGGGGAAATCTCAGTTGTTAGAATATTAAAACGACCAACTTGTAAAAGATGTTCTGATGTATTTTTTAACGATGAATTCGAAAATGAAAACCGTTCCCTTCTATCCCACGAGGGGTCTCCGAGGAACTTTATTTTTCCCGTAAAAAAGAGGATTTTCCGGGGAAAACTCGATACCCTGGAAAACTTGTGAATTTGTAGGAAAAAACAGGCCATTTCGTAACTCAGCGGCCAAACTTCTAAAGAGGTAGTCATTTTCTTCACTTTCCTGGTGCATTGATTTTACGTAAACAATGTATTGATGGCAAATGTATACTCCATCGTTTTGCTACATACCGTATAGGCCTCCGTCTGGCGAGATACACGCTTGGCGCCGAACACACCAAGAACATATTTTAAAAGTCGGTCGGGAGAAAATTCTAAAAATTGAGTTTCCCCCGAGAAACCCTTTTTCACGAAAAAACGGATTTTCTGGAAAATCCCGACATAATGGAGCAACTTTGTCATCATTTTTGGACTCAACGTTAAGAACCACAAAAAATACATCCGTCATATGTTGAGATTTATCTCCTGAAAATTGAGTTTTCCTCGGAAAACCTTCTTTTTCACAAGAAAATCGATTTTCCGGAACATCCTGCTGGAATAGAGATAAATGGATATCATTTTCGGACTCAGCGTAAAAAAGTACATGTTGAACGTCTGCCGTATATTGAGCTTTGTTTTCGGATGCAGGCTTATGTCATTGTTTGAGATTTATCACCGTCATTTTACTCTTTTTTAGCGTTTTCTGGATGTTTCAGTTGTTTCACCGCAATGGCGAGGGGCAAAAAATTTTACTGAGGTATCCAATACAATTTTTCCCACTCAATTTTCCCTACTACAGCCGAAAATGACCTCGGACGTTTTCTAGAAATTACTTATTTTCCGGGAAACGGATTTTTCTGAAAAAAATTGTTAATCCATGTAAAATCCCACTTAAAAAAGATGGCTCTGTCGACACGGGTTACCGACTTAGCTGAAACTTCGCAGAAAGCGTTTTTTGATTAAATGAATCAGTTCTAGGAGGCGAGACCAAAAAAATTCCGACAATGTCAAATTTGGGCCACCCTGGTGTTACAAACTACGCACATTGCGCTAGAGTGGATTTCAGACTTTCTTGATGTACCCACTGTGATTTTCGAGCGATTTTACTTGCAGAGAGTGTAACCAGTTGGCTCTATCTCTTGCGTGCAATAGACCCATTGAAATCGTTTGTATCTCTGACTGCTGAATATCTATAAACCTCGCTTCCAAAAAAGTAAAATAAAACAATGAAATTACTAGAGTAAAAAATTGCTGCTCGAGGATCAAATATAATATACGATACCTACAAAGTATCATTTTCGGGAGTTTAGTTAATTTGTTTCAGTAAAGTTTCACTTAAGTTTGAATTACGTAATAAATAATGTGGGCTGCATTTATTCTATAAGAAAACGCAACAAGTTTGGTCATGAGGCTGTTAAAAAACAAGATTCTGGAATCGTGATGGTCTCATAAAATTCTGAGAGAAAGTCAGAGCCAAAACACAACCGCGAATTTTTTGGCTTTGTATGGAACGGCTTCCGTAACCCTAAAAAAAAAAATTCCGAAAAAAAAAATATAAATATTTTTTTTTCGTGAAAAAAAAATCTAAAAAAAAAAATAAAAAAAAAAATCTAAAAAAAAAATCTAAAAAAAAAATCTAAAAAAAATAAAAAAAAAAAATCTAAAAAAAAAATCTAAAAAAAAAAAAAAAAATCTTAGGACTAGGTCGAATAACGGCTGGTGTTGCTGGGGGACTCCAGCGGCCGATGCATGCCCGTTGATTCTACGGACTGATGAGTGTTGAAGACCGATGCGCGGCAAGCCGGGCATATTCAAATATTTCCCGCGCAATTCCAACTGAACCTGCTCCTACCTCCTTAAACACCCCTTCAATTAAAGGCGGAGTTCCGATCTGCGGTCCTCCCTTATTTCAAATAGCCCAAGAGTTTCATATAAATACTAGTCGTGATTAGCTCGCTTTGCGAGCTGACACGTCTAGCCGGGGAGTGCCCCTGGACCCCAGTTCTACGCTTCGCGACGAACTTGCGACTCGCTCCGCGAGCCGCCACCGCCCCGCACAGTTTTTAACATTGATGAGGAGACAACATCTATGTCTTAATCTTCTTTTTCACCAAGTTGTACAGAAATTGATGTTCTGGGAGTCCGGACAGCGTTTTCGTGCGGGGCCGCCATCTTGGATTTGGAAATGTTGAAAATCGGAGCTAAAATTCTAATTTCCCTTCGAAATACACCTCCTAATTCCGAATTTCACAAAAATCGATGGATCGGAAGCCGAGATAACAATTTAGACCATTTTCGCCATTTTCGATTTTTGAATTTTGAAAATCGGACCTAAAATTCTAATTTCCCGTCGAAATACACCTCCTAATACCGAATTTCACAAAAATTGATGGATCGGAAGCCAAGATAGCAATTTAGACAACGTTCGTCATCTTGGATTTTTGAATTTTGAAAACCGGACCTTAAATTCTAATTTCCCGTCGAAATATACCCCCTAATACCGAATTTCACAAAAATCGATCGATATCCGGAAGCGATATAGCATTTTAGGCCACGGCCGCCATCTTGGATTTTGAAATTTTGAAAATCTAACCAAAAATTCGAGTTCCCCGTCGAAAAGTACCCTAGATCTCCGAATTTCACAAAAATCGATCAAACAGGAGCCGACTTAGCATTTTAGGCCACGGCCGCCATCTTTTGGATTTGAAAATTTTGAAAATCTGACCGAAAATTCGAGTTTCTCGTCGAAAAATACCCCTGGATACCGAGTTTAACGAAAATCGATATAACAGGAGCCGACTGAGCATTTTAGGCCACGGCCGCCATCTTGGATTTTGAAATTTTGAAAATCTGACCAAAAATTCGAGTTTCTCGTCGAAAAATACCCCCGGATACCGAGTTTCACGAAAATCAATCAAACAGGAGCCGACTTAGCATTTTAGGCCACGGCCGCCATCTTGGATTTTGAGATTTTGAAAATCCGACCAAAAATTCGAGATCCCCCGAGAAAAATACCCCCGCTTACCAATTTCCACAAACATTCGTCGAAAAATACCTCCTAAAACCTTAAATTTCGTCTATAAGGCAGTGGCGTCACGCAACAGGATTGAACCTGTTCGGCGCGATGCGCGTAAACAACCGCGTATCTCCAATGTAGTACTATATGGAGAAATAACTTTTCGCTCTTGCGGGCAACCGAGGCAGCGGATTTGAATGGGAATAATTTTAATCAACTCCTCATTACAATAGCTAAGCTTGTACCAATTTTAAAGGAAATCGCTTCGGCCAATTTTTCTCTAGGGGGGGCAGAGAGAGTGGGAACAGCACCTTTATATAGAGTAATACAGAGTGGTGCACAAGTCAAGGGTTTGTCGCACCCGTTCCATTCCTCGAGCAATAACGGGATCCCACTGAATCCCACTAAGCGGTAACTCGAACTCAAATTCGAATTTATAAAAGGGATAAAAAACTTTTCCTTGCCCTTCCCCCCTCCCTACTCCCGCTCTCGCGCAATTAAATATTTGAATATGCCCTGCTTGCCGCACATCGGTCAACACTCATCAGTCCGTAGAATCAACGGGCATCGGCCGCTGGAGTCCCCCAGCAACACCAGCCGTTATTCGACCTAGTCCTAAGATATTTTTTTTTTCTTTTTTTTAGATTTTTTTTTTAGATTTTTTTTTTAGATTTTTTCTTTTTTTTAGATTTTTTTTTTTTAGACTTTTTTTTAGATTTTTTTTTAAGATTTTTTCTTTTTTTTAGATTTTTTTTTCAGATTTTTTTTTTTTTTAGATTTTTTTTTTCACGAAAAAAAAAGTATGTATACTTTTTTTTTCGGAATTTTTTTTTTTTTTTTAGGGTTACGGAAGCCGTTCCATAGCTTTGATATCCTCTCGGAAAAGAGTGCTCCGAGCACTGTTTTACCATCTGTTAATCACTGAAAAAAAATTTCTCGAGATATTATTTTAACTTAGAGCGTCTTTCCTTTTCAAGATATTTTTTGTTTTAGTTAAATCCTTGCGGATTAAACTTAACTTTAGTTGTTCTGAGTTAAGAATCGTCGTTTTGTCATCGTTTATCCACACGGATTTAACTTAAAGAAAAAAAGTCTTGCCGACAAAAAACGACGCTTTAAGTCAAAATAATATCTCAATAATTTTTTTCAATGTATAGTACACCTTGCCTTACATAAATATAAACAATGTTTTTTCACAGAAGTTCATAAACTTTGTATGATAACTTTTTTTTATAACTGTTCTTTTCATGGGATTTTCACATACATCATGTTTAAGAGATCTCATAATGGACTTTCTGATTCGAACATTCGAAGAGTGTTATTTGAATTCTCTGAGATTCTTCAATACAATGTAGCACTAGCGATGTAATTCATTGGATAATTATTGTAGATTACTGATGTCATTTTTCCACAGATTTGAAAAATTATATAGAAGCAGAAGTGCTGATCGACTATGAAAAGCTTCTAATCGACGTATTTATATCAACAGACCTTGAACTCTGCGTATCTGCGAGACGAAGGGAGTCTGAAGCAGGTATTTAGTAAAATTGCACCGTTATCAAATTGAAATGGAATTACACTTAATCCTTTGAAAATTGACTTGAGTCCGTTAGTTAATTTTGATTAAATTTTAATGCCCGACATGCTCCGTTTCAATGGACCTATATGAAACAATATCTAATTATTTTGTAGTTGGAACCAAAGAGAGTATACGCAGATAGCTCTAAAATTATTATTTTTTGCTCATTGATATTAGGAGATATTTATTTCACGGATAAAACAAGAAGAAAAAATCCAACATGAGTATGTTGGAAAAGCGTGCCGAATAACTGAAATGTTGGACAAATACCTCTTATTTTCACGTCTTTGCTTTTTGCATCAATTGGTACTTTTTGCTAAATTTGGGAGAAATTATTGATTCATGAACGTTGAATGTAAATTAATTTTAAAGATTCCGTCCAATTATCTTGATTTTAAGCTGATATGCGGCATTTGCGCACGACCGTGATTTGGGTGAACTGCCGTGCATCGAAATCGCGTTCAGTTAATCTCTTTGGATTTCGAACTGTAACTTCTCTCCTATTCGGCCGATTTGTACAAATGAGGTCTCTTTTTATTTGTACTTCAACGGAAAGTAAAGAAAAACTCGCTAAATAGACGGAAAACAATTTTTGAGAAAATTTGGTGGATCCTGGCATCACGGTGAATGGTTAATCGGTTAATCGCCTCGCCGCTTTTTATTGCCTTGCTCGAAACCGGACACCCAAAGCTATATCGCGAGATAACTGTAGTGGTTTAAGTGGATTTCGGCAGGGGCCATGGTTAGTACATAGTATAATGAGTCACGAGGCTCATCACAGATTGCACTTACAGTGCAAGACGCTCATTGGCTATAGAGTTTTGGCGGGAAAGAAGGTTCTAGAGTTGAGTCCTCCGAGCGTAAGAAAGCTCCTATGAGGTTTCTGTCAAATTGAATAATACGGTTTTGACAGAAAAATGTTCTCAAGGGTTTCCAATTAGCAGTTCATTAGATTTTTTGGTAAAAGACCATCAGGGCTTGACAGTGTAATGGTTCAAAGACAAAGAAACGGGTGCGAGGAAAAAAGTATTTGGACGACCCGTTGAATAGCATTGGTTGATCTGTGTGCTGTACTATGGTACATCCGAGTGATTTCAAAAAGCGAGCCCTACTGGCACGCTTAAAAAAGCACGAGTTTGTTGTGTGATATGGACATTTCCAATTAATTGTGGTAGTACACGTATTAAATGTGATGGTACACGAATTACTCGTGGTCGTACCCCAATACCTAAATTAGGTTACTGACCCAAATGTTGCGGTACTACCCTAACTTGAGTTGCGGTTCTACCACAATCAATTAGAAATGTCCGTATCATCCAACAAATTGTGGTAGTACCACAATTATAGGGGATAACCCCTAACACTATTTACTCCGTGTTTGGTCTCCACGAGTTCCAAGATTATTTCTAAGTATTAGATAAAACGAGCAGGGAATTCCAACACTCATTGTGAGTGTCGGAAGAGCCCGCCGCGAGATTATGATCTATATTATCACATTCAGTTTCATGCTTTTCTTCTAAGTTTTTTATAGAAGCATAAGCCGCACCTTAAATAATATCATCGTAAATTCAGTAGTACCTTAGTTTTATAACTGGACACAAATTTTCAAATAATCCGTTCAAAATTGGATAAAAATCGGGAGCAGTGGATGCGCGTTCAGACGGCATGTAGAGCTTTACAAGACCAATGCAATTCGCGTTAGCTGCGTGTTTAGAATGCGGCTCGCCGAGCGACTTGTCAAGCTGTCTGAACGCGCCTTATGAGTAGGCGGAGCGTTTACACGATTCATACGAATTATACGGAATGCGTCCGTTGCGCACAATGATAACCAATCAGAAACTCGAATATTAAACTTACAAGTTGTCATGCATTTGCAGGAAGTAAATTAATAAATATGTAAAAATTAAAGAACTTTAGAGCACAGAAAAGATCTAATGGGTTTATATCTAGTAATGGCATTGATTCAAAAATAAATACCAGCAATCGAAATGCTCTCAAGAATTATTTCTCACGATGCAAGGGTTCAAATTCGTTCCCGCCACGAAAACGGCCTTAAAATGACCCAGGATTCAATATGACACGAATACACATAATGGCGGTGTAAGTCGGCAATCACATAACTCGTTTGCAGTGTCTAAAAATCTCCGCCTCTTTGTTATTTTTTTAAAGGAGAAGTCATGGCAGGAAGTCTGCGACGTCGCAAACCGAGTTAAGTGCGATTGCCGACTTATACCGTGCATATCTAGTGGTTAAGCTCTCGGCGATTGCAATAAAGCGCGGCATATGCATTGTGCGCTTAATACGTTCAAATAACAACGCGACGTGCTAAGAGGATGGACTACATTTCACGATGAGGAACAGTTCTTTTTGGCTCGTCCATAAAAGCTCCTATCTGTGTCAGGAAACAAATGGCACACACGTTGTTTCTAAAATGAGTCAAAAATCATAGTTTCCAATGTGCAATGTGCCTCCTAGCAATGTGCCCCGGGCGTTTAGACGCAATTGTTGGTTTTACCGTTCTTTTACGAGGTGCCATGGAGAGAGCGAGAGAAGAACCCTTTTTGCCTGGATCTATCAACAGAAATGAATACGGAGAAAAATACTCGTATGAGAGGATTATATATTGGATCGGTGTTGGGCATGCAATCATTAAGTTGCCATTGTAAAACTATCCCCCCCCCCCTCTGCAAAAAATTAAAAACATGGTACGTGGGGTGAATTAATGAGGATTTACTTGCAATGTATGGCGTTGCGTGTATAGGTTTTTAAAATATGCGAGAATGGAGAAACCACTTGTTAGAGGACGTGAACGCATGATTGCGCGTGACAACATTGGTGCAAGCGTGTCCAATAATTCCGTGTAAGAGGCAATTTTGCGATAAATGCTGCTGGCAACATGTTTGAGAAGGACCGATGGTTTATGCAAAAGTGACTTCGATCACTCTTTCAGCACTACAATTGACTACTCTGTCGTCAAATTAACCTACTTATTATAATATTAAGAAAAATGTATATGATATCCTTAGTGATAGTTTTACAATAAAATAATAGAAAAAAACCGATGTTTTATACATACAGTAAGCAAAATGTGTGGTCTTTTGCCCTGAAGTACTGAACAGAACAATTGAAACTGTTTGGAGGACACTCGTTTATGCTCTGCATGGTACGGATGACTCAAATTCAAGGTTTTGGGACTATGGCTCCCTTTCCCATTCACAACCTTATTTTAACGATAATAATTCCAATTCATTCATAATTAAGTAGTATACAAGGTTTTTTCCCTTTTTTTCCTTCTTTGTTTTCCAAGGCACTACCGCACTGGTTGCAGTAATTGAAGGATCGCAATTGATTGTGGCAAATGTCGGTGACTCTCGTGGAGTCATGTGCGACTCCGAGGGGAACCCAGTACCACTGTCGTTTGACCAAAAACCTGACAGGGTAAGTGTCAACGAGATTTTCAAATCATGATCACCCCACCCTCGAGTTATGAAAATCGTTCGCTCTTAAAGATAAACTGGACCAAATTTTGTGACTAGGAATTACTACCAGATTACATTTTGCAATAACTCTATCCCCGGCTCTTCCACAAGAGCACCTTTCTGTATAGAGAAATCAATGGCATATATGTTGTTTCTAAATTGTGCCAGAAATAGTGGTTCCTCATTACAAAATATGGTCCGATTCGTCGCCCCTTTGACATAAGGGCATATCTGAATTTCCGCGTGAGTCCTGTTTCACATGTAAATCTGTGTTTTTTTTAAGCTCATCCGGAAATTGAGATACGCCCTTCCGTCAGGAGGGCGACATTTGTTTAGATCGCTTTAGAAAGAACTTATATTCCTTTAGTTTCCAAGGGTAAATAAGTTATTTTGCAAATTAATCAGAAATTGTAGTCTCCCGCTAGTCATCAAGTCCAACATGTATTTCAAACTGAAGTCCAACTTTCTCACCATCCGATGAATACTCCGCGTTTTGCCTTGCGAACTGATTATTACAGTCGATAGACAAATTAGATAAAGATAGAATGGAGCCAACTTGTTGATCGCAGAGAGTAGGTGCAATGCACAAAGTAGAGAAATAATAGACTAAATATAACGACAACCTACGAGAAACCCTGTATAAAGTACTTGAATGCAACGCAAAATTCAACATGGCCGACGCCAACCCGTCAAAACACGCGTCGTCACCCTTCGGTTAAAGTATCACAAGCGCCATGCGACGTTTCAAAATTTCCGCTGCCGTTTTATTTTTCTACTGAAGAATTGTTGGTTTAATTCGTTTTGAAATCTCTCTGAATTTTATCGGCAGCGCAAAGAAAATTCAGTGACATTTTCGCACAGCTTCGTTGAACAATTTCTCCGTGAAAAAATAAAATGGCGGCGGAAATTTCAAAACGTCGCATGGTGCTTGTGATAATTTGACCGGAAGGTGACGCCGTGACGAGACGGGCTTGATAATTATCAACTTAATAAAATTAATTAATTTATTTAACTTCAAAGGTTATTGTTTAAAACTTAAGTTAACAACTTATATCTAATATCACTTTCCATCAACCTGCGTGTTCATGCATCCTCACAATTTGCGCGAGGATGCGTTAGCCTCGTTAAATATTTTGTAAAATCCTGATGCGCAAGAGTTGGATGGAACGACTCTTCTTACGAAATGTTCGCCTGTGCCGTAGTATCGTTCTTGAAGCGGGAATTTTAAAATAATGCGTGTTTCTTACGCAGATTGTGAAGTAAAGAGTGTGTTTCAGACTTTTTCGATGCGCTCATCGTGATTTTTGAGCCATTTTTTATAAGAGACAACTCTTCCTTTTGCTGTGGCTGAGGTTTGCAAGAGGTCCATTCGAAGTGGAACTCTAGACAAGGTATGAATTAAAGCATAACGTTAGGCATTTTCTCTTGGAAATATCATATGGAAAATGGATCACACTAAGAGAAGTCTGATTATAAACTCCTGAACGAGATATAAGCGCTTTCAATTAACATTAGTTCGATGGTAAAAATACAAATTACGTCATTTCTTATACTAACTTCCATTTTATCTGTTAAAAAGACTTGTTAATGTCTCGTTCAATAGTTGATTTTCCAACCTCCCGCCGGCCGTGTGAACCGTTTTTTACGTAAGATTTTGAAGAGAAGACATGTCGACGGTGAAACTACCAAACCACGTATCTCGATTGCGGTGTTTAAAAATCTACGCTCGAATTTTAATTTTTTGAAGTAGACCAAATCAATATCATTCCTTGAAATTTTCACAGAATTTTCTCCATGCGATGAGGAAAAATCACAAAAATTTTCGAGACTGGACGTTAAGTAGTTTTTCATTTAAAAAATAAAGTATGGCAGGAAGTCTGCGACGTCGCAAACCGAGATACGTGGTTTGGTAGTTTCACCGTCGATGTGACGTTTTCCTCTACTTTAGACCTTGTCTAGTGGCCCATCCAACAATGGAGATTTTAAACGCTTTTGTATTGCTTCATCTGAAAGTGCCTGACGAGCTGATTTTGCATTATTTTTTATAATTTTTTCTGATTTGGGAAACAGTAGAAAATAGATTCAAAAGTGAGAAAATGCGACGCCCAGTGACGTCATCTGGCGGCATTTCCCATTTAAACGCATGTATTTTAGTAGATTAGATAATTTTGTCATATTTCCTCCAATAATTGTTCAATTTATAAACCAAGGGTATCCTCGTGTTCAGCTCATCGTGTTCAGCTCTGGTAGCGTCCATGCAAACACGCAATCGATCAAATTTCAGACACCTGCAAATTCTCCTTTTTTATATTGTTCATTCTACCTATGATGCGAATCTTTTTTTTAATTTCTATTTATCTGATCGGAGTTGGATTCTAATTTGACAGGAGGACGAATGCAAGAGACTCGTGCGAGCCGGTGGGAGGGTGGGATACAATCGCGGTGGCTGCGCTCGGTTGGACGCCTACATAGCCATGTCGCGATCGCTCGGTGATCAGAAAACCAAGCTCGACCACCGTTTAATCCCGACTCCTGAGGTTTACATCTTCGATCTTGCCGATCATAAGCCCGAGTTCATAGTTCTGGCCACCGACGGACTTTACGACGAACTGAGTAGCGAAGAGGTCGTTTCCTTCATTCGAGCACGACTCGACGAGCCGAATTTCGGGGCCAAAAGTTTGGTCCGTTACGCTTTCCTGACCAAAGCCAAAGATAATATTACGGTCATGGTGATCAACCTCAAAGGTTACGACTGGCCGAGCAATCCTAGGACGGCGTTGAAAAATAAAACTTGGAAGAGTCGAATACTAGCTCTTAAACGCCCTCTCGGTGGAATCGGTGACCGGGTTAACCCTTAGATTTTTTTTTTTTTTTTTTTATTGCTGGTTTATTGGCTTATGTTCCGTTGGAACCTACAGCCATCGATAGACAGTATTTATTGTCCTTAGACATCTATAGGATCTGGGCACATCCATGCTCCAGGCTTTTCAAATTTTCAGGGATTAAGGCCGGGTGGAATCTGTTTCTGCAGATCCACTCGTCAGTTCCATGAAAATTTGTCGCCACCACCGGGATTCGAACCCGGGACCCATTGACCTACAGTCAGACGCGCTAACCACTAGGCCAACCTGGCCGGCAACCCTTAGATTCCCAAGCTGGGTTAAATTGACGCGAGGCTTAAGAAAAGCACGTGGCGTTGACGTTCGTGAGGTTCTATACACCAGCTTCAGATGCAGGTCTACGAAGATACCGTAGGAAATCAAATTTAGTACAAAGGAAAAATCGAATGTCAACACAGCCGGAAATAGAAAGACGTAATCTGTCATGCTAAAGAAGAACGCCGTATGAGCCTCTAGACGTTGCCAGATTTACTTCAATAAAATGCGGATTTCCTGGAAAAATTGCGGATATTTTTCTCCCAATTTTTCACAGAATTTCATTCGCAATTTTATCCATAGCATATGAAAATTCAAAAGAAAAATGTTCACAATTCTCTTCAAAAATCAACAATTTTTCGGAGGAAATTTGGCAACTCTCGAATGTTTATATGGCGTTTTTTCTCAGCACGGCAGTATTCGAGCCTCGTATTTGAATTTATTATAAATTGGAACGACACACAGGTAGCAGAAAGCGAAGTATTGCAAGTTCACGCCACGTGCCACTGCGCTTTTAATTTTGCAGATGCAACATGGCTTCCAGGACTTTATGTCCACCTACCTTTCGTCCATTAAATAAATGTCCACCGCTATTAATGTCCACTAAACGTTAAGTCCAGTCTTTAATAAATCCAAATGATTTAATGTCCAACCATGAATATGTACAAAATTGTCCAAATTGTGGACATGATGTGTCCACATTTTTATCTTCTCATTTAAATGACAGGAACAACCCTAAAAATAAATGCACACTACTACTACCTTTCATTCTTAAAAATATTTCATTCATTAATCAAGTCATGAAAGAGAACTGACTCTAAGAGCAGATAAAAACAGTGGTACAGTTCATGGTACAGTGTACGGATATGATAAGATGAAAACCAAAGCGGGAACGCTCCAATGCCAAATTAAACATTTTTCAGTAACAGATGCAGTCAAAATTGAAAGTCCTCTTCGACTAGTTATTTCGTGCGCCTTCAATCTTGTAAGATACTGTGCAACGCCTATGACTCGAAATATTTGCTTAAAGCGTTGCGGCGCGGCAGGCAACCAGCGTGACACGCGCACAGGCGCCTACAAACCTAACGGGATACTTCATGCGTTGCGCAATGCGTGAAGTATCCCGTTAGGTTTGTAGGCACCAGTGCGCGTTCCGCGCTGCTAATACGCCGCTCCGCTCTATGTTAGGCTCTAATATTTAAACTCGCGGAGTCAGCGTTTTTCAACTCATAATTTTGAAATGTTTGAAAACTCTGAATGAATTATTCTTATTTAAATTTATGAAAAAGAAAATTTTACCACTGGAAAATATAATGTGTTTCTTGTAAATATAATAGTGGTTCCGTGTCAAATTTAATGATTTCCAAAGCATTCAAATTTATTCTTTTACGTTTTGGGCTTTTGCTGTGCTGCAGCGTGGTGTAAGCGCAACTAAACGCTCAAAATTGGACGTATTTGACTAAAAAAGGTCGATGTACAAATAAGTTAAAAACAAAAAAATGCGTGCTTCTTAGTTTTTTTCCTCTTTTAGTAATTTTTGTATAGTTTCTTTCATCACAACTACGGCTCATTGAGATTCATATCGACGCCATTGCTAGGAAAATGTTTTATGAATATTTACCACGTTTTAAAAATGTAAATGTTTTTAAAATGAAGCACGAATAGTTGTAGCTCTGCGCCGTTATCAATACGCATTAAAATCGAATGATTGATACAAAAGTGCAAAGAACAGTACTACTTCAAAACATTTCGGGGGAAGAAGTGCTCGAAAACGTTTTGCCAAACTCGAATGTTAGCAGTTCAAAGTTCTGGGTTCAAAAACCGTAGACTCAGGAGGGAGAGAGGAAAGGGGAGGAAGGGAGGGAGAGGGGCAGGGGGAGGGAGGAGGGTTGTTTAGAATTCTAATCCGCCATGTTTATGCAAGGGGTTGCCGGATTAAAATGCAACTTCGAATTTTTCTTGCGAAAAAAACTAAACCGCTTGCAACTTACGCTTCAGAGCGCCATCAGAAGTCTTAAAGGCAAAAGTGTTTACCTAGGTCGATAAATATTAGTATTAAATTGAAAAATTGACCATTGATGACTAGGATTCCTTTTTTCGTGTAAGACCATAAGTATGTATGCACAGACGTTTTAGTATGTATGATGGATTCACAATGTTTTGCATATTTCTCGCTGCATTACTTATAATTTCTATACAATGATAATTTGTAATTACAAAAGATATGCTTGAAAAACAAATTTCATACAAAAAGATTCAATCCTGCGCGATACAGATGATTTATTACCATGTATAAATTAACAATATATGAAGTTGTAAGTACCTTTTTGAAGAAACATACGTACGTTCCTTAACGAGTATCTGTTATTGCCTAAACGCATTCCTGGTGCCTGGCAGTGGGATCTATCTACCAATAAGCAAATTAAGAAGATAAGTCACGTTGTCTTCAAAATTACACAGACTACAGTTATTTTTACCAACTTCTTATATACGTCTGTTTTCATTTACCAACGCGTTTGCGATTTGAGAAACCCAGAAACTCTGAAGACCTGATGTAGATGGAGAAGTTCTATAATGCATCGTTCCGTGAAAATATTTAAAGAGGGAATATAGGAGATTGGGAGCCAAAGGTATGTGATCACAAACACGAATATGGTTGGCTGTTAATTATTCCGATACGTAAGTTGACCGCAGACTAGTTTCTTCATGACACCGTTTTTTTTTAAAGCTCGCGCTGACACTTCCCGAAGTTTCGCAGAAGCTGAGTAGGTGCCTGTATTCCTCCGGTTTCACCTAGAAATCTTGATTTCCACTCGATACCCGTGCTGTTACGCTAGGGAAGATCACAGTATAAGCCCTCACGCGTTGCCGAATTTCTATAGGTAAAATACGAATTTTCCAGAAACTTGCTGATTTTTCCCGTCCAATTTTTCAGAGAATTTTTTTCCGCAGTGTGCTTTAAACTATATAAAAAATTTCAAATAGACATTTTCATAATTATTCTCAAAAATTAATGTTTCCAGCGGTGAAATTTTTCAACTCTCGGATGTTCATACGGCGTTTTCTCTTGGCACGGTTGTGAGGGCCGTGGGTATACCGGCCTGTTTTCGTAATCTTGGTTACGTCAGTCACTGTCAGCTCCCATTTCAACGATTTTCCATTAGATTTTCCATTAGTCGTTACTTTAACCTCTTTCATAAAAGCTTTCTGATTACAGGCTGGGAAAAAGGGGGAGTTCGCCTTTCTACGAATTTCCATCAGTCCATTCCTTTAACCTCTGCCACGGGAGCTCACTAATTACAAAAAAATTAACGATTTTACTTCGAAACGCCGCTGACTTATAAACGATTCTCTTACCCACGCATCATAGCTTTCCGTTTTTATTACAGTTTTTTTACCTCTGGCTGTGACATTTTAGGATGATTCAACAACACATACGTGGTTTTTCATTTTTAGAGTGGCGAGAATCTTTTGATACCCTCGTGAGAACCCCTTCCATTTTGCGGTATTCCACTCGTGCGGCTCTCAAAGAGCGACTTTCAAACAAACTCTTCAAACCGAATGAACATTTTTTTTTGAATTTTATAGGTGGAAAATTTTCTGCGAAATCTCCAAAATGTATGAACTATAATGCGAAACATTTTTTGAATGACATATTTTGGCGCAAGGGTTTTTTTTGTCACTTGAGGTGACTTTTAAAATTTCGAGGAGTCGCCTAAACTGGAAGAAAACTTGTTATAAACAACGAAAGTGCGCTCGGAAAATGTGGAAGAGGTTGTTGAAATGTGTGAAATATTAACAATTTGTCGACATTGCTCGGTATGGAAGTATGTTATTTAATCATAAGTCTATTTCCAGGGATTCACCTGACAGAAATATGGAGAGAAGAGGAGAGAGAAAGGCAGAGAAAACTGTTGAATTTCTCGATATTGATAAGGTTTTACAAAAATTGTTCTTCACTCTGAGAGACCATCCTACTACGAACTAAAAAACACGTCTGAGTCCATTTGCTCCAAAAGTTCACGCAAGGTTTTTTTAGCCCCCACTCCTTCAAATGCAGTAGGCAGCTAGTGGCAATGTCATACAAAATCAAACTACATTTTGCCACAAGGGACTGGTCTTTTTGACTCATCCATAAAAACCCCTACCTGCATGAGGAAACTAATAGCACGTGTGTTGTTTTTGAAATGAGCCAGAAATAGTAGTTCCTAATTGTAAAATGTGCTCTAGATGTCAACCGCAAAAATCTAGCATTAACGAGCATCTGTCGAGCTATATTATACGTTGCCTAGTTTCGTATCATCTCTATATATTGTTTTGTTTGACAAAAAACGGAGCAAAATTCCGCCCGTTAAACAAGTAACTTTTCTTGATGTGAATACAGTAAATTTGTACGTCACGTTGAAAATTACAACTTCCCTCTTCTTGGGTAGTATAAATACTAAAAAATAACCATAGCCATACAAATCGATGGTAAGTTCAAGACAAATTGAGGCGCTGAGTGCTGAAAAGGCACGTCTATATTGCAGTACTTCAGAATTTTTGCTGCTGAATTTAATTTAAGAGAGGGAACCAATTCATGATTTTTCCGGCAATTTTCTTTAAAATATTGTACAATCCTAGTTATTGATCAATTAACGTTTCTACACAGCTGGAAAAAATTTACGGGCTGCACAGTGTACAGACATACCGTCCGTTCCGGGCTCGAAAGCCGAATCCTTAAAGTGTCTAGAATGTTAGCGGAGATTCCAAAATACTGCAATCGAGAAGTGTTCTTCCAGAACTCAGGACGTTTAATAAGAAAAAAGCAAGAATAGTAATTAATATTAAACGATCAAATGTTCTTACCAACATACTCGTAAAGGAAAGTAGATATATTCCGATCGATGAATAACTCAATTTCATGAAAATACCAATTTTGGAAATTATAGGAATGTCAACCATGCTGCCAAAGAAAAAACCTCATCTTATTCAATTTATGAATCATTGAAACCAACCTTACGCAAATTTTTTTGCACCCGATCACTCTATCTGGAGGCAAGAATTTTTGTCTCCTTTACCGCGTCACCGAAAGCATGAAAGTACGCAAGTACTTCGGAGAAGTGTAGCATTTTTTGACGAAGTAAAATCCCGATTTTTTTTTTGAACAAGTAAATAGCAAAATCCCAATGCTTCATCCACTACGGGCGCAGAAACCTCGTTTTGTACCCGACTGAAAGCTTTGATATTTTGCCGACGTGGCCCGCCCTTTTATTTTTTTGAAAAAAAGAAAGCGAAAGAAAAATCATTATGGCGGCCGTTGCACGCGAACATTCGCGTTCATTAGCGCAGCAGCTACAAAAAAGAACATTACTGGGAATGTACATCGACGGTGTAAGTCGGCAATCACATAACTCGTTTGCGGTGTCTGAAAATCTCCGCCTCTATGTTATTTTTTTGAAGGAGAACAAATTGATATTATTCCTTGAAGTTTTTGCAGAATTTTCTTCGCACAAAGAAGAAAAATCACGGCAATTTTAAAGAATTGCCGTTGAGTAGTTTGCCGTTTAAAAAATAAATTATGACAGGAAGTCTGCGACGTCGCAAACCGAGTTATGTGATTGCCGACCTACACCGTCGACATATAGTCTCAACCTTACGAAATCTGTCAAACGAAATTTTTCCATGAGGTTTGATACGTATGGCTGGTACTGTTCTCGCTATTAACCATTGGGTCCAGTAATGAGAGTGTGTGGTCTGTTTGACGTGTATTAATATTTTACTAAAATCACGGTTCAATCTTGAGAGTATCTACAATTATTGCCATGAGTTTGGTGCGCTTTTTCCAGATTATTTCTTTGGTGCTAACTTCACACATGGTCTCGGTAAGGAAAAAGTTAAAAATGTATTCTATAATATGATTTATTGAATTAAGAGGGAGCAATTTAAATTCATGATGGATATACGTTGATACGATTTTCAAGGTTTAATGACAGTGTTTAAAATAACTTTAAAGACTGAAAAAAGTTTGAAAGATGTACTTTTAAAACGAAGGAAAAAGTAAAACATTTAAAAAATAGCATTTAGTGTTTTATGGGATAAAATAAGGTGACATATATGCCTTTCAAAATTGATTTAAAGTTTTTCTTTAATTATTTAAAGAACACTTTCAAAATGTTTAAAAATCATCATTATAAAGACGTTAAAGACCTACCGATGTTAGATCCGAGAGGATGGTGCCGAGGGTAACAATCGCACACCAGAAATTGATTAATATATCAATCAATCAAAATTTTGTGAATAAAGAACCGTGTAGAGACCGATTGTGGACAAAATTAGGATAGGAATCATAATTTTAAGTCCACTAGACACTAGCTTTAGCTGTCAAATTGCACCTACCTTTACACAAACGCACTTTTTCCAACTACGGTGGGGCAACTGTTCGGCCCCATTCTACTTTGTAAGAAACAAATAAAATATGTTATCAAAAAAAAGTCAAAAGCTTGAAAGTAATTGTTTTATCATTATCATATAATATATTATATAATCAACCGTGGTATCTAAATCTCGGTATGAGCCCCTGAAAGCATGGAGTTACATCATAGAGTACAATTGAGTCGCAATGTACTTACTGGAGCGCCGATGAAGTCAATCCATGAACGGGCCATTCCGAGCCTCTTATTCGCCGGCATTTTTTAACACACGGCGGCTTATGGGAGAATCATAGAGTACATAGAGTCGTGAATTGGATTGCTTTTTGCAAAAAGGAACCACTAGCATTGCAATGATGCTAAGATTGTGCAACTTCATCCTTTGCAATAAAATTGCGGAAATCGTGAAAAACTATGAAATTTAGACGGTAACTTTGTCTTAAATTCACAGTTTTTAGCGAGTAAAATAGAAACTATCAATGGATAATCGGGTTTTTCCTCCAAGACAAGAGAAGTTGCACAATCTTAGCAACATTGCAATGCTAGTGGTTCCTTTTTGCAAAATGCAATCCAATAAAATTCATTGAAAGCAGACATTCCTTGTTGCAGTTTTTTGTCCCTTCTTCTCTTTAGCACGGCTCCTCAGGAGGGAGTAGCTTATCAACCGCGACAAAAAATAAAATAAGATACGTTTATCGTCTGTATTTATTCACTCGTTATAGCAACTAGGTAATTTGCATAGAGTACATAGAGTCGTAATGTAAGCGGGTGAGCTGGCGCCACTTTTAGGCATTTTCCAGGTCCCGAATTCCGAGACTCCTGTGTGACGCCGGGTCACTTTTTCGATACATAATCGATTGTTTGCGATACACGGGTACCCGGCCATCCGATGTAAACAAAGAAGATAGGAATCACCACGTATTCCACACCGCCATTTTGGATCGAACATGTATCGAAAAAGTGACCCGAACTCGGCGCACACCGGGCTCGGAACTCGTCGAGCAGAACATGGCGCCAGCTCTCCCACTTACATTACGACTCTATGTACTCTATGGGGAGAATCGCGGGCTGCGAGTGGTTTTCGGGATTTATTCATCTAAATCAACCATTATCTCTGCGAATTTCGGCAAATCGTGTCCACTGAAGTCACAACAAATTGAAAAATGTACAACACTCCCGATTTTTATGAAATAAATTGTATACCAGTATTTTCTGAGCAAAGACCGGAGCTGGACTGGGACCACGCGCATACGGCATCGCGCCAGTCGCCGCACACTAGGAGTGCTGGACGAAACAGTCTCATTAAGGGACTTATTCATCGGCGCTCCAGCACATTGCGCCTCTATTGTCCTCTATGAGTTACGCGGACGTTGGGGGTCAGCTCAAAAAGAAGTCGCACACTTCAGGCCTGGAAACACACGACGATTAATCGCCGCGAGTGAAAGATGGAAGCCAATGGAGATCCTTTCCCAAGTAGGAGGTTGCAAATCCTCATTTTAAAAAAGTAGACCCAGACATCAGATTTTTTCTCCCATTGGGTTTTTATTTTGATGTAATAATTTGTCTTCAGACAATGTAGAAACATTTCAAAACTTCATTGAAGTCACAGCAGTTCTATTGAAAAAACAATTAACTCTTATCATTATTGATAAGTTGCTCCGCTAATCTAATGTCCATTGACATATAGTCTGAAAAGACAGTAGTTGCTATCAGTGTATAATCATTAAATTGATTGAAACTGTATTATTAAGATAAGTTGCTATATTTATCTATGTTTTCATATGTATAAATTGTCTGTAATTATCTTAATAAAAAACATTTCAAAAAAAAAAAAAAAATGGAGATCCTTGATTTCGATCCATTGACGTCGATATATCAAAATCAAGGCTCTCCGTTGGCTTTCGTCTCTCACTCGCGGCGATTAATTGCCGTGTGTATCTAGGCCTTTATGTCAGAGGAGAGGAGCGACGAAATGAGGGTCTCGGTCGGGAATGGATTATTCGTAATGCATGACATGGTGGGACGAGTGACTTTCGTTGTAATTTCCGTGTGTTTAATGACCGTCACAGCGAAATGTCTAGTAACTCTTACTCGATTCTTCCCTCAGAAAATTATTTTTATGGAGGGATTAAGATAAGTTGCGAAAGCTAGAATTTAGCCTCGCTCTAGCGCTTCTATCTGAATAATTGAAAACAGGAGTGAGAAATAAGTTCCCCCTTCGACTCGATGGATCACGGTTCCAAGGGCCGGGGAAAACTTAGAATGTTAAAGGAATTTGGAAACGACCTGGAACGTTAGGAAAACGTTAAAGAATTTTGCTCCGAGTCAGAGAAATTCTCAGGGCTGTGGTTCGACCAGCTGAACCTTCATTGTGCGACGGTCAAGATTGCATAGGTGAAATGGGAAATATGAAACATTGAAAATTTCCGTGAAATATTTCATGAAATTCCACAGAAAAGCAAAAATCAGACGCCTTTCATTAAATTTTGCATTTAATTTCCAAAGCTACTTTTCAATATTTTCAGTATTTTTCATATTTTCCTGAAAGTTTATGAAATATTTCACATGAAATTTCAATATTTTATTATTCATGAAAAATTGCAACCCTTGCGACGCGACGGTATCGTAGGTCAGTTTCACGTTTTGGGAATTAAGCTCTAGCATGAGTGAGAATTGACGATTTAAGCACTTTTAAAAAAGAAAATTTCACGAGAAACACTATCTCGCCAATGGATTTCTCTGAAATGAACTCCAAAGCTCAAAAAAGCTCTCAAAGTTGAAGCCATTATGAATGGGATATCTGCCGCTATCCTGAGAGTCCACCCCCATATCGAGTCAGACTTGACATGCAAAGATAGGGAGCAAATACATTAATAGAGTTGCCGTGTTTTGAGTTTTGGAGCCCCCAAACAGAGTGACAACCTTGTTACTGTATTTTCTCCATATCTTTAGTTTGACTTGATATAGAGGTGGACTCTCAGGATAGTGTGGGATATACCTTCCATTACGGCCTCAAATTTTTGGGGTTTTAGAGTTGGTTATAGAGAGAACCAGTGGCACAATTGTGTTTCTCGCAAAAGTTTACAGAGGAATCAGTATTTAAAACGCAAATTCCTGACACATGCGAGGGCTTCATTCGGTGAGCTTTGTCGCAATGCGAGTGCCGTGGGTACTGAATTCGCGATTTGTGCCCTGGTTCAACTTGAATGAGCTTAATATTGACATCTATCTGCTCTTCATTAGTTTTTTCCCGCATTTTCTTCCAATTTGTTATTGATCAGTATAATTTTCGTGTTATTATACTTCTGAAAAGTCTATTCACACCGCTGCGTCTCTTGCGTCCAACACTGACACAATAAGCAAAGTTTTCTCCTATCGATCAATCGATTGATCTGCCATTCAAACCTATGGAAAAGGATCGACACACAAGGATACACAAGGTATTCGCATCGAGCACTTTATTTATCGATGCCTTACCATAGCTGCAAATGGGGAGATATCGATAAATCGATCAGTCATGCCTTGCTTCCGTTCTCCTCTGTGTTCTATTCCTCCGCGTTCTCCTCCCTCCTTTCCTTCTCTTGATTCTCTTCCTTTCAATCTTCGACCAGGTTTGATACAAGTTCAATTTCACCGTCGAGATCTGTTTCTGTAGGTATTCGCGGCCGAGTTTATTGGGAATCACGGATCCCTGAAAGTAGAAAACGACATTGAGAGAAATATATGCCACGACATTAAAGGATCGCCTTGGCCGGAAGAAATTGAGAAGGCAAACGAATATTGCAAAAACGTCGCAAGGCGCTTCCTTTCTCATCCGATAAGCAAGCGTATTCCCCGCCCAAGCTTCTACTTCGTGGAGTGCTCTCCACCACTTGACTCAGGGATGATGGAGCACAAGTGCACATTCGGGTCTTACACATGGCGACACAAAGACAAAAAACGTCCTGCCGTCATCCGAAAGGATCTCAAAGAGTATGTCACAGGTGAGATACGGCCCCTCTGTAGCAAATCCAAGGCCAAAGTCCGAAACCTCATATCTTCGTTCGCCATGATGAAGACTTTCTGTCCTATTATATATATACTAGGGGGTTAAACCCCTGACCGCTACTCGGCCCAGCCCCCAGAGGACGCTTCACGCTCTCTTAAAGCCAAAGGAACGACCAAAAAAAAAAAAATATGTTGATAGGATGACAGAGAAAACGCTGGCAAAAAAAATGCGTGATTGTGTTCTTTCAGGGAGGAGACTAAGGGTACAAGTACACCCGGTAAAAATATGCCGAAAAGGGGGTTTTACGAGAAAAGTGGGAGTGTCAACTTCCTGGTGGCCTGTGGGAGTATGGGTTTGGTTGAGAGCGCTGTAAAATTAACTATCTTGTTGTTGAGATTTTAGGACGTTTCTGCACTTTAAGCGATCATCAGTAGGAGAGGTTTCATCGTATTTCATGTAGAGAGAGAGTAAAAAAGTTTTCGTACACGCCAAGACTTTGAAACACTAAAAATTTGACTTTAAATGGGGGAATTACATTGAAAGTATTCCGTTCTTTCTCAAAAAGACTCAAGCGCCAATTTGCTTATACCTTCTTTTCCCGTTCAAATTGTAGGTAAATGTCCGAAACAATCATAATCCAACTTTAAATTATAATCTTCTCGCACATTCATTTTTCTGACATCCAAAATGCAGAACCGGGTCAATGGACCACTAGCCAAGGTACGAATTTAAGCAATCTGATACATGTTTCTTACCCAGAATTTCACGTAGAACACGATTAGCGTGACGAATATTACTGAAACTATTTCCTAACGAAGATTTCAACGTTTTTCTTTCACATTGGTTACGAGGAATTTGAACTGCCCGTTCACAAGAAACTCAAAGCTCTACTCGAGTCAAATCGCGCGCTACAACGGTTTCAGCAAGCTTCTCCATCGAGCAATGTTCATTTCCCATCATATGTTGTTTAAACCACAAGAAATTTGCTATAGCTGAGCCAAACCGTCAAGATTGAGGTTTCTAGATTTTTATATCGCAGAGTCTATCATGATGAACGTTTAGCGCGCGATGTGAATCACGTAGAGCATTGAGTTTTCATAAGCGGGTGGTTTGAATTCACGCATCATGAATCATTAAATATCTTCGTAAGGAGTTGATTTTGGTAACGTTTGCTATGCGCATCGCATTTTACGTGAAATTTTGGTTCAGAAACATGTATCAGAATGCTGAAATTCGTACCTAGTCTAGTAGTCCATTATGGGAATTCTCACTATTTTTCTCAAAATATCATTTCGTTGCGACTCTGACATAATACCCACATCTTTATACCCACATGAGCCCCGGGAAGCCTAGGCTCATACTGCCGTGCTTAGGAAGGACCGCCATATGAGTCTTCAGGCGTTGCCAAATTTCCCCCGGAAAATATTTAATTTTTAAGAAAATTTGTGGATATTTGTCGACCAATTTCTCAGATAATTTTGTTTATAATTTGATCTAAAACGTCTGAAAATATCAAAGAAAAATATTCATAATTTTCCTCAAAAGTACATGTTATTGAAGGAAATTTGGCATTTCTCGAATTTTCATACGCCGTTCTTCCTTAGCACGGCAGCATACAGAGAGCAAGTTTCACGCGTGGAAATCGAGATACGTCCTTACGAGCAGCAGCAACAATTTCTGGCGCTTAAGTCTGTTCGAGAATGACCAAATCATACGTAAAATGCTAGATCAAAGCTAATTGTATTTTTATCTCGTTAAAATAACTACCCTCCTCTTTTTTTTTCTAAAAAGATCCTATCTTTTGGAGTCATCGCGGATTTATTTCCGGCGACGGGGATATATCAACATTGGTGACTCAAGCAGATTTAGAGGTACAGGAGAAGATACAAATGGGGAAACGGTGGAGTAACGTTGCAATGTACGCCACGATTGGATACCGAGACGCAATGGAGGACCGATTTATGGTCTACGAAAACGCCGCCGGCACTCAGGCATCGTTCTACGCGGTTTTCGATGGACATTACGGCGAGGTAAGTTCATCAATAGGCAAATGTTCGCGGCTTGATCGGCTCGAGTTTTTGATCTACTGCCTACCTCCATACAGTGGAACGAGTTAATGGAAGAGGTCGGGCATGGAATTTTTGGCGAAAATGTCAAATTTTGATGTTTATTACGTCACAAATTTAATTTCAGGGGGTGTCTCTGAAAGAAAATTTTAGGAAAAAACCAATGAACCTAATTTAGCATTTTATGTCTCATAGTTTCAAAAATATCGGCTCCCAACTTTTCCAGATTTTGTGCGACTTTTCCTATTGACTCGATTCACCGTGCTCCGTTACAAAAAAACGAAATTAACCTGAAGCAAACTTCAGCTACAGCAAAGAGAAGTGAACATTCGTCTAGAAAATGGCTCAAACATCATGAAGGCCGCATAGATGAAATCTGAAATACACTCCTAACTTTACAATCTGCGGAATATGCGTTTATTTAAGTTTCCCACTTCAAAAACGATACTACGACACAGGTGCGAACATTTCCTAAGAGGCGTCGTTCCATCGAAGATTTGCGCACTAAGATGCTATGCAATATTCAACATGGCAACAGCATCGTTTTTGAAGCGGAAAATGTAAAATTGGCATATTCCTTATGCAATTGCACGTGTAAAGTTACGGGATAATTCTAGACCAACGCATAACCGACGTATGCCGAATGGCAGATTTCACCTAATATCACGACCAGCAGAGGCACATGATCTTCAGTTATTGTGTGCCTCAGTCACAGTCCCCCTCTTAGTAAATTTTTGGACCTTTATTTTTCATTTTTCTCTTTTCGTAGAATCGTGGAACCTCATGTTAATATTTAATCAATGGCACAAAAAAAAAAAAAAAAAAAAAAAAAAAAAAAAAAAAAACTTGAGTCTGTTTCAGACTTGTCCAATGGGCTCATTTTGATTTTTGAGTCATTTTCTAAGAGCGACAACTCTTATTTTTGCTCCAGCTGAAGTTTGAGACAGACTCAATTCCTGCCGGACGTTATTGCGTCTACAACATTTAATTTTAATGATGGCAGCAATGAAAACCACATCCTAAATTCGCACGTTAAACATTTAAGACAATCCAGCCCATTGAAACGCATTTTTTCTTGAGCAAAACACTAGACAAAGAACGAGGTCAAGCATGCTGATAAATGTTTTCTCATTAAAACTTTAGGAAGAACACGATTTATATAACGGAGGTATCCGATCGATTGATCGAATTAAGATTTTTTCGTAGATTAAGTCTTGCCCAAAAGCATTGTTAGTCAGAGCCAAGGCTTCAATTACCACGCAACAAGTTACCATTTGCGGAAAGAGGAATCTTTGTCTACAAAAACTCAAGATTGAGTTATTTATACGACAGATAAGTAAAGAGGAGGGATAAAGCACACAAGGCAAAGCCCGAAAATACGAATATAATAGAATGCAAAAGTACAAAATGAGTAAATAAAAGCTGAAAATATTAATCACTAAAAAAGCATGTCGTTCCAAGTCGTTGCGGGCTCATTTTGAGCCGCAAAAAATAATGGGCACTAATAAAATATTAAACTCCGATCTGATTCCAGTCGTTATTATGACAGCACTGAACGCAACGTGGACGTGGTTGCGTGATAACAAATGGATTAGGTTGTCACTCAAATTGCATTAATTTTGTAGCTGAAAACGAGCCTGTGATGACTCAAGACGTCCTGCCTTTTTGGGGTTTTAATATGTTTAGTTTCGTTATACCAATCTCGTATTTTTTACCTGTCATAGAGGAATTTCATACGAAAAAAATGGGGATAAAAGAGGCTAAAGATGCTAAACCAAACCGAAATTACGTCGACCCAAGGATTCAAGGTGACATCTGAAGGACTTTAACTCCGGTATTACCGCAGGGCGTAGGAACTGGGCATTTAGACAAACCTTATTATTTTTTGCTAATGTACCAGCTTAAACCATCAAAACGGGATTCTGCGACTCGTGCAACTGATCCATTGTAAGAGGCTCCGCGTTTAATCCCTAAAAATTCTGATTTTCTTTTTACAGGACGCTGTACGCTATGCGAGAGACGTATTGATGAAAATTATAATCAATGAAATAGCAGCTGTGCGGAGATCTATAGACCTGAAACAGGCATCTAGGTCCAGGAATGGATCCAAGTCTCGGTTTCGGTTTAAAGTCCCTTTAAGGAAAACTCGAACCAGAAGTTCAAAAAGAAGAAATTCTTTCCCGCCCAAGGTTAAGACTGAAAGTAAGTGTAAAACAAAATCATTTATATGAGTGAGAGGCTGGACTTTGGAAACCAAACTAGGTACTCATGTGAGAGCACATAAATCTCGATAACTATGGAACAGTACTGCCTATCTGCAAACTGACAATTTTCCAGGACGAAGAGGAAATGTTGCCATTTTATATATTTTTCTTTAATTAATCTGCGTTAAAGTCTCTGAGTCAGCCGAAAAGAGATTCTCCTTCATTTTGTGGATACGCAATTTAACCTCTTTGATAGTCGAAATGGTTGGTATAACGCGGTTCGCCCCATACAACTTTTGTATTCCTGCGTTAAAATCTCTGAGTCAGACAGAAAAAGATTCTCCTCCTTTTTTTAGATCTGCAATTTCACCTACCTTGAAGTCGATACAGTTGTTTCATGCGTTTCGCCCCTTCCAATTTTTCGACTCTTGCGTTAAAATCTTTGAGTCAGCGGAAAAGAGACCGAGCTCTTTTTCATGGGTGTACGTATGCGAGAAAGATTTGTTGTTTCATATTGTGATTGGATCCTGAAAAAGGGACTTCATCTCTCGAAAGGGAATTTCCGAAACTTTGAACTTTTTGCTATAAACGATTGCAATGAGTTCCTGCAAAACTTCAAAAATACTTCAAGCATTGCGCCGCCTCCCTAAGCCTAATCTCAAGTCTCGTTTTTAGCTCTCAACTCGTGAATCGCACTAAGTTCCGAGATACGCACGCTATGAATTGGACGTATTGTAATGGGGGGAGGATGAAATGATCCGTACACGTAACTCGAAATGGTAGAGCTGATGTATATCTCGAAATAGAATGCAACAGTATACACGGGATGCACTGGCTAGATGCTCCTATACTTGCTGCCTCGTAGGTACGAAATACGAAATGAATCCGCCGCCAATCTCGAGAGCATACATCTCGTAGCGTCCGATGACGCGATGACGTCAAAGACGTGATTGCGAGATACATCGGCGCTCCGAGATGTAAACTCTAAACATCCAAATGCTGACGCCTGAGCCCGCACTTGCGAAATCGATGGCTTTCGGCCCGAATGAGCTAGAAAGCATAATGGAATGTGGTCCTAAAACGTAAGTGATAGGGCCCCATTCTATTACAGTATTTCTATCAAACAGAACAATGTGCATTAAAACATGAGCCCTGAGACCGCCCTTAAGAATATGTCCATAACAGGGCTCACGTCATAAATTATGCATTATGACTCATAATGCACACAGTTCCATTTGGCAAAAATACGTCCAATTGGAGATGCGTAGGATAGTGTGCATACATAACTTCGGAAGAAGTACGGCGCGAAACTTGAGAGCGTTTTGATCAATAAGTGATACATTTTACATCAATCATCATTCAAATTCGTATAGCCCACGCAATTTTCCCACTTTCCTGCAGTTTGCGATCTTCTAATAGGTCTTTGGTCCGTGAACATTTTCCACCTCTGAGTCAGAACTAGTATACTGCCGTGCTAAGGAAGAACGCCGTATGAACATTCGAGAGTTGCCGAACCCTTGATAAAACATGTATTTTTGACGACATTCATGCACATTTTTCTTTGAAATTTTCAATTATTTTAGATTAAAATGCGTACGAAATTGGCTAGAAATTTTAGAAAAAAATATTCACAAATTTCCCAGTAATTTCGGTTTTTATCGATGGAAACTTGGCAACGTCGAAAGGCTCATACGGCGTCCTTCCTGAGCACGGCAGTATAGGTTTGTTAGTTACACTATGTAAGTAAAAATTGTATAGTCGACTCGATGTTGAGATTCTATTGTGTACAAGTCTTATACCTCGAAATAAGAGGAAGATGTCTAAAACATTTAACCTTTCCATTCGCTGATATGTGCATAGATTTTGGACGGGCACTGTCCCGTACCCACAAATTGGGGAAAAACGCGATAAATTAAAAAAGTTGTATTTTTTCTTTCTATTTAAATTACCATAACCTGTGACCTACGTCCTAACTCCATCCAACTCCATATCTTCATTTCATAGTTTTCCTCTCTGCCCTCCCTATTCTGTCGTGCTAAGGAAGAACGCCGTATGAGCCTTCAGGCGTTGCCAAGTTTTCTCCGATAAAAACCGAATTTACTGGAAAAATTCTGATCATTATTTTCGAAAAATTTTCAGACAATTTTGCACGGAATTCAATCTTTAAATATCTGAAAGTTGCAAGGAAAAATATGCATGAATGTTGTCAAAAATACATGTTTTATCGAGGGAAATCCGGCAACTTTCGGAGGTTCATACGACGTTCTTCCTAAGCACGGCAGCATTGTTCCCCTCCCTATCACCCCCTGCCCCTCTCGAGCCATTTTGTTTTTCGATCTCTTTTCGATCGAGACTCTCGAGAGTAATGCCACGCCTAGGCAAAAATAATCAAAAAATGACATAAATAAGGAAAAGCATAGGTTAAAATTATATGGCTGCTTGTTTCATTATGCTTATGTTTCTTTCATACTTTTTGCTTTTCAGCCTTAGTCATGTGTTCACCTAACACTGGTTGCATTTTATATGATCAAACTCGGTGGTTGGACAGAGAAAACTATGAGTCGGTCATCGAACCGAGTAAGTACACACTCATCAAGATTCTCTAATAATTATAAACGCAATATATTCGGCGGATCTAGTCAATTTTAGTCGAACGTTGTTTTTTCTCCATTTATACCAATGAAATGTATCGATTCTCGAAGGGGCTAGGCTTTCAACAAGAATTGATCATTCAACAGAGATTTAAATGGAGGAAAGTCAGTGTTGCCAAGTTGCTGGGTCCAGCTCTGGGTCTGGAAGTAGAAACGATGGGAATACATTTATTCGTTTCGAGATGTTAAGAGAAAGTAGGTACTCATCGCTAATAGTATTTGCTCATTCATTCGGTCACCGCTTATGGCGCCACGCAACAAGAATTTTTGTATTTGGCCACAAACGATGGGTGCAGTGTGGCTAAATAAATTAAGCAAAATGCGTGTGGCATAATGCAAGAAATATTGTTGCCTGGCGCCTCGCAATAGTGAGCCGGAGCAGTGATTTAAAAGGTTAATACTGCCATGTAAAAATGAACGCCGTATGAGCCTTTAGACGTTGCCATATTTCCTTCAACAAAAAATTAGTATACTGGGAAAATTGTGAAAATTTTTCCATCGATTTTTCAGCTAGTTTTGTTCGTAATTTATTCTATGTCCGGAAATTCAAAGGAAAAATATCGACGGTGTAAGTCGGCAATCACATAACTCGGTTTGCGACGTCACAAACTTACTGTCATACTTTATTTTTTATACGGAAAACTGTACTCCACGGGAGCTCTTCAAAACTGCGGTGACTTTTTTGCTTTTTGTGCGAAGGAAATTCTGCAAAAACTTCAAGGAATGATGTCAATTTGTTCTCCTTTAAAAAAATAACATAGAGGCGGAGATTTTCAGACTCCGCAAAAGAATTATGTGATTGCCGACTTACACCGTCGAGATGCATTACTGTTCGCAAAAATGCATGTTTTATCCAAGGAAAGTTGACAACTCGTGGATGTTCATACGGCGTTTTTCCTCAGCAGGGCAGAATACCTCTTCAACTGTGTAACTATTATTTAACAGAGAACTAAACCACTAGATGCATTTAAAGTGCATGTAAAATCACCACATGGAATATGAAGAGTACACTCACAAAATGTCAATAGTTTCCTGGTTTCCTTTTTAAAAAATAGAACAAGAGAGGAAATTAGGCCACGTTTGATGTGGTTAGGCTGATTCTGGTTGAATCTATTCAAGTGATTGAACAAATATCCACCCCGCTCGTTCTGCGCAAAAAAAAGAAAAAAAAGAAGTTTCGATCGAACGATTATAAAACTTATACAATTGTTATAAAATTTGTATTTGACTTCAGAATGGGCAATAGCGAGCACTCTTGGGTTCAGTAACGTTGTATTGACGTAATTATAGGTTACAGGAAAAATATGTCTGAAGACTCTATGTTGTAATTGTATCGGCCATTCTCAGAAAGACCTCTAGGCGCCGGAGAGAACAGTAGAGGAAAAACAGTAAAAACCTGTGTAATCGGTCCAATCTAAATCTCAAAGCTCTAAAATATTAAGGTGATTAATTGATTAATCCCATAATTCATTTGAAATTAGAAACAGAGTCAATTAAAACAGATTACTATTTTTTCTCATAAGCTCATTTCTGGCGCTTGAGTCATTTTGATAATGACCGATTCAGTCTCCTTAATCGCGTAGTTTGGATTTTAGGCAAGTCTGATGTACTGGATAATTCCTTCACTCAAAAATCGTGCGAGCATCGTAACTATCTAAATCCAAAATGTCCATAATGTCAAACTGTCTGATCGATGGCAATTATTGACTGAATCCGTTCTTCCTCATAGGTGACAAAAAATATGTTGAGGATGGAGGGGTCATCAACTATGAAAAACTCCTAACTGACGTGTTCTTATTGACAGATAAAGATATTCAAAAAACACTATTGGCAAGAAGAAATGCAGGAGGTAAATAATTAGTGAATCAGCATAAGCACCGAGTCGCAGTGTCACTTTTACCCTCAACATCTGGACACCTAACTCGTCCAGTCCCAAGTAGGAAACATATTTAACATAAACGTCCTTTTTCTGGCATGGACATAAAGAGAGGACAAATTTAATAAGAGTCATCTGACCATCTGCGAAAAAATAGTCTAACGCTCACAGAGGCAAATTTTTTAGCAGAGCGCTCACTTGTTTTAAAATTTCTCATTAGCAGTGAAAGAGTAAGAATTTTTTGGAACTTCATCCTTCTTAAGCGGCCTGGCATAAAAGAGTGACTCAAAGAGACAGAGAACCATATTCATAGGCGATCTTGGAGCAGCTCCTTTCCTCAAGAAAGCCCAAATGATTTGCATCGTGATAAAGGGAGGTTTAAGGAGATTCTTCACTTAGAATCATATTAAAGGACAATGTTTGCAAACCTCTTGTAAAATTAAGGAAATTCTCAAGACAGCATCATAAAAAGGACAATGTTTACAAACCTCGTGTAAAATTAAGCACTAGTGAAACTCAAGACATGAATATATCTTTGCGAGGGATTAGAACGATATCGTATTGCAAACAATACAAAATAGGAAAGAAGAAAATTCTTTAATTTTGACAAACTTTCAAGGAGGTGCAAAGAGTGCGAATCAATCTTAAAATTTTCACAACTCACAATTTATTTTCTTCCATATTTTGTAATTTTTGAAATGGTGAATCACTGTGACCTCTCGTAAGAATCCATTTCCAGATGTACTGACTTTTACTCGAAAATTGCAAAAATTGTCCCTTTCATGATGCTGCGCCAAGGATCCCCATAAACCTCCTTCAATCACAATGCAAGCCAAATGGGGCCTCCTGAGGAATGGAGATGTTTGGGAAGCAACTTTTAATATGGCTCCGAGTCAAAAGACTTGCTAAGCCCGCGCGACAACAATATTTCAGGAATGATCTATCTCCTCCTTATTTAAAAGTGGCGTAAAAGAATTTCAGCTAATTCAAGATCCAAATCAGGAAGGATCAATCACTCGTATAATGCATTATCAGTCCATAAATGGTATCGATGAGATTAATTATGCAAAAACATATCAATATCAAAATCCTTCATTCACCATTCATCAGCTGACGATTTCATTTGATTCTATACTCAACAAGTTGCTCATCAATCATCATTACCTAATCGAAAAGTAGCTTTGACTTCCGATTACAACTTTTGCATTACATTGCTTATATTGTTATTGAGAGTCTTTAATTTATTTTGTTATTTATTAAATACATAAATCTTTCAGTCATTTTTCGATGTTTCTACTGTAAGCATTCTTTAATATTTAAATGTGACTTTTTTAAAGGCACCACTGCATTGATTGCAATTATAGAGGGGTCTCAATTAATTGTGGCAAATGTTGGTGACTCACGCGGTGTTATGGCGGACCATAAAGGAGTTCCGATACCATTGTCATTTGATCATCGGCCTGATAGGGTGAGTTTCAGTGCGTAGATAACCATTAATTGACGACTTCTCAAACGGAACTTTTTCAAAGGAAAGTTATCGTTGGTTCCAAAAGGTAACATATCTCTGGCGGAGTGTCTATACAGGAAGCAGAGTATGGCTATTCCTATACTTTTAGTATGCAGAGAAGCAAAGCCATTTTGCACAAAGTGCTGTAACTTATTCGCTATACGAGTGGCTTTGAATCGAATCTTGTCGGAAACGTCTGTTTGGGCAAAGTCTCTTGCGTAAAAGCCCGTGTGACGAATTATCTTGGATTCAATGGCATTAAAATACGACCATGAGCAGGACTTGGAACTTTTTGTGGGGGGACAGAAAGGTACCTCATCAAGGGAGGGTCTAGGAGACACCAAAAGATGCCCCAAAAAAAAATCGGCGCTTCGGCTCGGCTATTGCACGTTGTTTACACTTTGAACGACACAAGGTTAAGAGGGAAGGCTCCGTTGTATTGCGCAATTTCATTCCAGTAAACTTTTGTTTTCCTTGTGAGCGGGGAATTCAAAATTTGCGTGATCAATTCTGAATAAAAACGTTGATATCATAGTTGAGAGTTAACTTCAATGAGTTTTGATGCGCAAATCATGTTCTACGTGAGATTTTGAGGCGGGAAAATATATCAGAATGCATAAATTCGTCCCTTGTCTAGTGGTGCGTTTTGAGCATTGATGCAGCTTTAAAAACATCGGGTGGGTTTTTTGACGGTCGAAGACTTGAAATAAATCCACTTTTATAAAACTCTTCAATCGATAGCCAAAGTGCAAAATCACGTACCTCCGATACAGTATTTCAAAATTTCCGCTCCTATATTATTTTTCCGATGAGAAATAAGTCAATTTTAGAGCTTTGAATTCACACAGAATATTCTGCTAATAAAAATGAGAAATTAAGAAGTTTTAAAACAATTACGTTGACTATAGTTTCCCCTCCAAAAAATAAAATAGGACAACGGAGATACGGGTCTCGCACTTTCGCCATAGATATACCTATATTCTGCCGTGTTAAGGAAAACCGCCATATAAACATTTAAAAGTCGCCAAATTTGCCTGAGCAAATCTTGTATTTTCGAGGAATGTTATGCATATTTTCTCTTGAAAGTTTCAGATATATTAGATTAAATTGCGAACAAAACTGTCATACAAATTTCGAAGGAAAATATCCATAATTTTCATAGTATCATTTGTTACTTATTGAAAGAAATATGGCAACGCCTTTGAGCTCGGGCGGAGTTCTTCCTTAGCAACAAGGTAGAGAAATGGAGCTGGGTCCTCACCATTTTGCGGGGAAATCAAATCCGAGAAATTCCAAAAATGACGATTAGAGTCAAAAATGTGTTTAACTCTATCATGAGTACCACTACAAAGTACCAGTTGTGCTGGTACTCATTAGAGTTAAACACATTTTTGACTCTAATTGTCATTTTTGGAATTTCTCGGTTTTCATCTTTCCGGCGAAATGGTGTGGACCCAGCATCATTTCTTCTCTGTGTTACATACAGTTTCGGGCCATTTTTTTAAGTGTTTATTTCTCGTTCTTCCTTAGTATGGGAGTGTTGATTGAAGATTGTTGCTTTACAGAAAGACGAAAAAGAAAGAATTATAGCGGGAGGCGGAAAGGTTAAATTGGACTACAGGAGCCGCTCCTGGAAGGTAGGCCGCCTGTCACTGTCAAGAACGCTGGGTGACGTCCTTGAAAAAGTGGACGGTCACGTGACCGCGGAGCCTGAGGTCCTGGTCTTCGATCTCTCCGAGCACAGGCCCCAGTTCATAGTTCTGGCGACCGACGGTCTTTTCGACGTCATAAACAGCGATGAGGTCGTGGATTTTATCAAAAAGAAGATCGATGATCCTTACTACGGGGCGCAGGATTTGGTGCGTTTTGCCTACCTAACAGGAGCTGGCGACAATATCTCGGTCATCGTCATCAAATTTGGTCGCGGTTATGAATGGCCACCGAATCCTAGGAAGAGTAAAGGCGTAAAGCAAGTAGTTTGGGAAATGGGGCAGAAGGTTACCCGCACTTACACAGGCAATGGCATACATGTGGATTATATTTAGGGTTGTTTTACCACTTTTACCACGGAAGCTGCCCCATAAAAACGGATAATTTGTCTGTTCTGACCGGGGAAAAACAATATCAGGAATTTGGATTGGAGACAGAGTGGCACTCTCTGCTTTTACGAGTCGTCTTTGATTGGCTGATTCGCTTGTTGCTTACTTTCTGGAGCCCGGGAGGAATAGAACGCGGGGTTCATTTTTCATCGAAAATATCCCGAAAAGAAGGAAAAATTGAGATTTTGGAGATTTTAGAAATCGATTCGCCAGATTTTTTCTTAACAGATTCATGGGTAAAGCATGCTACTTGTTTTTCAAGCACACCGAACGGTTCGACCTTGGAATTTTGTTTTTTCAACTTGAAATAAGACACTTGGTTTCATAAAAAAAGTAAATAATTCAGGTCGAATAGTAATTTTATATCCATCTAATGTACAGCTTATTGTGATTGAAATACTTAAAGTTTATTTTCAAATTTTAAACATTAAATTGAATAATTTATTTTCAACCTTATAAGCTGGCGTTCTTCATTTCCTGAAATCCTTATAGTTTTGTTGAATTTATCTGATATTCCCACATCTTCTAATTGTTTAACATTCCAATATGAGCTCCGAAGAAAATGTAGCTTTAAGCGGAGTAAGGCTCAAGTGACAATGATCTTAGTACGTGATTCCAAAAATCCTCTCACCGGCCATGCAGGTTGACCTAGTGGTCAGCGTATCTGACTCTGGATCGATAAGCGATGGGGCAAATCCCAGTGGTGGCGACAAACTTTCACGGAACTGACGAGTGGATCTCCTGAAACAGATTTCACTCGTCCTGGAAAGGTGAAAGGCCTAGAACTTGGGTGTGTTTATCACCCTAATGTCTGCGGACACCAATTAATAACGTCTGCAAAGCATACGAGAATACTAGAATACGAGTGAAATAATCAGCAAAAAAGAAAAAAACCGCCAAAATAACCCCTATGTACCATTTAAATTTCAGTAATTTTACTTCGTCACTATTCTGTTTAAATGTGTCGAGCCAAGTCTGGCTTCTTTTAATTTCGTTGAAGTAAAAGAAATTAACTCCCACCAAAGAGGAGATCGAAGGCTCAGGCCCCTCGGAAGCAAGAAAAAAATAACAGATTCATAAATGAGGTTATTATATTACTTCGGTGAACATATTTTGTTCGTTAAGTGAACCGAAATAATTCTCACCATGTTCATCCAGTCATTTAGTATGGGTCTATTTTCTACTTTCAGCACCATAAAAATATTAAGCTATGTTGAGATTCGGTCCGTTATTAACGCTTGTCTTAATTATTTGATTAAACTGTTATATTTGAACACTTACAAATTACAGCAGTGTACCTTGGGAACGCATAGCATCAAAAATGATCTTTGAGAGCTCATTAAGAAAACTCAAAACTGCTCTCAGGTTTGCTTGTGAGATACTAATGAGTGCAAGGCGATGGTAATGTCTCTTACACATATATGATCAAAATCGATTTTTACTAATTGAGTTCCAAAATAAACACAAAGTTTTAGGCAGGATGATTGGCAGGATAGGCTGTTCTCGTATTTTTTTTTTTTTTTTTTTTTTTTTAAAATCCAAAAATAGTTTTATCTAGTATACTCTCATGATTTGACATTTTAAGGTGTAATTGGCTCCAGATTGAAATGGACTCCGGATTCAACTCAGAGTTATTTGAAGGAGCATTAAAATTGATGCTCCATACAAAGATTGAAAGGTATTAGAAACGAAGATGTTAGGTAAAATTTCCATAATTTCGAGGAAAAAGTAGTCCAGGTATGAAAATTTCGTCGCTTAGCAGACAAAGGGGTTTTACTACACTTTTTTACTACACAAGTTTCATAAAAATCAACGACATTCCACAACGGGCAAATTGCGACCACGCTCCTCGCACGAATGTAAAGGTCATAAAAAATATATTTTTTGTCCACATCCTCAGCTTTGATTCAGAAGGTAAATGGAAATATACGGGACATATGAACTTATACTTCAGAGCGAGTGCGAGGGCGCAAAAATGAGTCACAGGTTTCCATTTTTCCAAAGAATACCTCAAAAAGAGTTTCATAAGAATCAATGGCATTGCATGACCGGTAAATTGCGACCACACATCAAGCACGAATGGAAATTAGTCAGACAACTAGATTTTTTGTCCGTATCCTCAGATTCGATTCGATGCCTAAAAGCCGCGCGTCAGAGTAAGTTTTTTTAAGTCTTACGAACAAGAATTTTTCTCAGAAATTTTTTGACTCCGAGCTTTTAAAGCGATTTTTTTAAATTTTTAGAGAAGCGCAAGCTTTCGAACAAGGGCGAACATTGTGTCATTTGCACCTCATCGGAGGTGGAAAATTTTTACGAGAACAAACGTACGTTAATTCAAAAATGATGAATTACCAGAGCCTTGATGTAGCTGTCATGCGGGTGCACGCCTCGCCTAGAGCAATTTTTTTTAGTCTTGCTTTTAAACCCAAAGCGGGCCACGGCTCGCAAGTACGACCTTTGATATTCGTTTGAACTTTTAAAATGAGCATTTGCAGAGACGCTAAAATTGCATTTCTTCGAATTAAAACTGAGCAACCACTTTTTCTGAAATCATTATCACCTCAAAAAAAAGGAAGGAAAAAAAAAGGTCGGTGCCTTGCCATGTTATCATGACCCCTGTCCTTCCATAAAATACTAGTATACGAACAGCATATTTACGTAGTTGGGTGTTAATATTCAGTCATGTTGAAGATTTTTAGTTTTTAATCTTAAAGTAATGTAGGCATCAAGTCATCAGTTTCTTCATTTAGTTTGCAGTTTAGTTTTGTAATTCTCAAGTTTTTGTTGTATGGTCGAATTGCAGCCTTATGGACAGAACTGATTTTTGGGATGATTTTCCTCCGACTTTCTTCTCTTTTGCTGACATTACCCATAGCCTTGGTAAGCTATAATAAATAAAAATCATCTACAAAATCGTTAAAGATGCCTCGAGTGCAGAAATACGTGACCACGCAAATGTTATTGTAAACTATAATTAGTTCGGGAAGGTAGTAAGTATAATTTCTCTAAGGAAGAATCCGAGAAGATTTGACTTGTGATGCGTCTTTGCTATGATTATAATAACACCGTTTATGATTTATGTTAAAATTATGATACACAAAAGAAGTACATTTATATAAAAAGCATTCACCCATGCACCAGTCATGCAAAACATGACCTATGTTGTGTATAAGGTAAATATTAGTCATGAACTTTCTTAAGGTGATTCTGCAACACTCTCAAAAACGAGTTGCTGGATAATATATCAGTGGATTATTTCTGGATTGAATAATTTGGTTTTAAAAAAAAGGGGAAGGGGAGAGATTTGGAACCCGAAGCGAGAAATACAGTGAAAATATCTGCGAAAGTGTGTTGAAAATCGCAAAGTCTGTTTCTCAATGCGTCATATCTACATTAAATATACTTTAAAAGCGTATTTTAAATTATGCCCTGATGAAAGGTGTGCATTATATCTGACGGACTTAATGCAATTTTAAAGGATTTTTCAGAAAGGTTTTAAAAGTCCAAAAAGTATCCATTGATTGATATCGAATCTACAATGTGATTAAAGGATACTCAAGGAGGTCTTTAGCATAGCATCATAAAAGGTCAATTTTTGCAAACCTTGAGTAAAATTAAGCAGTATAATTTTGGAAATGGACTCTTAAATTCATTTAAATAAGTTATCACTACAAAACATAAAAAAGAAAATATAATGCGAAAGAAAATAAATTGTTAGTTCTATGAAATTTAAGGTAGGTTCGCGTCTACCTCAAAGTTTGATGAAATCATTCAATTTTCTACTCTTCGCAGTGGCAAATCATTGCAATCTGAAGGATCCGTTTTCAACTTTACATTTCTCAATTGTACTCAAACTGGGCAAACACTTTTCTTTCATTATAACGTGTTAAGACTCTCCTTAAACCTCCCTTACGTTGGCAGATCCAGAAAATTGGCAAGATTGTCTTTTCTCCATTTAAATTAATGGAAATATATCGATTCCTGGAGGGGTCAGGTGTTCCGACAAGGATCGATTGTATAGCACAGGTTCAAATGTAGGAAATCAGGTGTTACCAAATTGCTGGATCCGCCTCCGCTTCCTTAATCACGATGTAAACCACATGGGGCCTCTTAAGTAAATATAAGCTGCCTCAGGAACGACTAAGAATACGATCTTAAGGGTTAGGCTGCATAGGAACCGTTCATAGGAGCTCTCATGAAAGCGTGAATAAGTATCCCTTCGCTTCTGCCTTCTCAGGCAGTTGTGCGTCTGCCACCAGACCGAAACCCAATGGGAAACAATCCTTGCAGCACTCTACCGAGGAAACCTGAAAAAGCACAACTAGAAGAGGCGCATCATTACTGCAGATCAGTTTTAGACCGTTTCCGGAGGCATCCAGCCAGTACGCGGATTCAGAATACTTTCAGACGTTTCAAAACTTGGTGCTCTGAAAAGAAAACGCTCTCACAAGAGATAAAACGCAGATGCAAGATCATCATCATGGGTCCGGGAAGGAGACCAAGCACATGGTTTTCCAAACGCATGGATTTGGAAGATTATGTAACAGGTGAGCGAAGGTCGTGTTTTCTCACTGGCCAGAAACTCCAAAAAAGGAGATAATTTTCATGATTTTTGGTATGGATGAGTGAACAATAAAAAACTGACACTTTGTGTTAACATGGGAAGAACACGAAGTAACCTTGGCGGGTGGTTAATATTTTTTGGGTGGATTTCCTTTGGATTACATTGACCATATCTTTGGGTTGAAAATATGCAGCCTCGTCAAAATATTTTACAGGCACAAGTTGCCAATATCAATCCTAGATCGCGTGAGTAATCCTGCCATGCTAAGGAAGGAAGCCGTATGAACCTTCAGGCGTTGCCAGATTTCCTTCAAGAAAATCCGACTTTAATGAGCAAATTGTGCATATTTTTTCTCAAATTTTTCAGTCAATTTTGTTCACGATTTAATCTTAAATATCTGAAAATGTCAAGGAAAAATATGCATAACATTCCTCAAGAATACGTGTGTAATTCGAAGAAATTTGGCAACTCTCGAGTGTTCATATACGGCGTTTTTCCTTAGCACGTTAGAATAGTCCAATGCGCTAGCCACTCGCGAGTTGCGCCTCTGAGTGACATCGAGAAAGACGAGGGAAGGCACATTTTAGTTCATCAGGGCATTTTCTTCATCCCTGAATGTCTTAAAGTAACCTGCGGTTTCGATCGATTTAACAAATAATTGTCTCGATCAACTAAGTCCTCTTGGTTGATCTAACCGAGAAAAAAGTAACTCAAAGTAACCCGAATTGACCATAGACATGAACAGTTTTAACTGTGATGACCATGCTCATTTAAAGTGTTTATTTTCTTATCATATGATTTATTATATTGTCCATTATCTTTCCTTTCTGTTTAATGAGATCTAACTTTTTGGATCCGTGAGGGATACAAGATGGACGTTGACGTATCAAAAATAATTGTTGATGAAAATCGAGGCGGATGGCTGGCTGCTGTTGAGACCCATAAAAAAGAGGAACGAACGAATAATGTCGGAGTGTACGCCGTTAAGGGCACCGAGCGACGCCAAATAGAAGATACGCACAAATTCTACGAAAATCCGCTGAATATTAAAGCATCATTCTTCGGGGTTTTTGACGGACATAGTGGGGCGGTAAGCTCAATTAATTGCAAATTTAAAACACTCCACCAATCCTACCGTGCTAAGGAAACACGCCGTATGAACATTCCAGAGTCGCCAAATTTTTCTCGATAGAATGTTTATTTTTGAGGAAAATTATGAATACTTTTCCTTGAAATTTTCAGACACTTTAGAGCAAATCACAAACAAAATTATCTGAGAAATTGACAGAAAAATATTCAAAAAATTTCCTGAAAATTAGTGATTTGTCAAAGAAAATTTGGCAACGCCTAAAGGCTCATACGGCATTTTTCCTAGCACAGCAGTATTCTAAACGCGTTTTAGAATAAACGTGGCAATACTTGAAATTATCGAAATTCTTGAGTCTTGAGGTGCATCTACAGTAATGTAGAGAACGATTTGAACCACATATTCTGGACTAAGTAACAACTATTTCTGACTCCATATTAACATAATTTCTATCAGTTTCCTTACGTAGCTGTGTTATCGTAGGTACATACATACATATGAGCCGCTTTCATTCATAGAACTCTTTGGCGCTCTGCAACATCCAGCCAGAGAGTTTTCGTATATAAGCCAGAAAAATAGGCGAATCAAAGGGGGGGGGGGCGTAATGGGTGTACGCTATACGCCCATTCGAAAAAAGTATTTCTTCTCTTGAAATCACAGAAATGGCTTATATTATGAAACTTCAAAAACCATCAAAATAAATATATTTAAATACGGATCAATTTGATTTTACCTGGGACTTTACATATGAAAAAAGTTTTGATCACCTAGGCGTTACTTTGGATGTAATTTGTAGTTCCTTCTCATCAATCTTGAAAAACCAAATACTTTGTCTTGATGAGAAGAAAAAACCGAGCCTTTATTTGTTGCCAAATTTCGTTAGAGAAATCACGAATTTTCGGGGTTTTTGGCAGAAATTGTTTGGTCAATTTTTTCAGAATTTCTTTTTTTCGTACTTTTGGCCTCAGTGTGCAAGTTTCAAGGAAGAATAGTTATTACTTTTATATTACTAGTTAGTAACTTTCTTCAAAAATACATATTTTGTAAGAGGAAATCTGCCGACATTTGAATGCTCATACGACGTTTCTTCTTCGCACGGCAGTGTCATCATCATTCTCTGAAATAGGTAAATATCTAATTTACAGTATGCTTCGGGGTATGCAGCGGATGTCATGATGAAAGCTCTGGTCAGAAACGTAGCAGCTGTGAAGAAGTTGATCGGTGACAGTACGCCTACCAGATCAGGCGCTCTGACCAAAGATAATCAACCACAAGAAACTGAGCAACCCCCGCCTGAAACTGAGCGTAAAACTAATTTGAAAACTGAGCGTAAGTTTGATCAACACTTCATCCAACAGGAATCCAATCTTTCCACCAAGTTCGACAAAAAGTGATCTACTAATTGAATTGCTTCCTCGAGCCAAGATTACCGCCTCTCCTTTGGACGTCAAAAGTATGAGAACCAATTTTTGACTAAGGTCTTTATTTTCTTTAATTAAAGGCATTTCCCACCGAAAGACTTTACCTACGGATAAACATGCTTATTATGCTTAAAAATCGGTTCTCATACTTTTAACGTCCAAAAAAGAAGCGATGATTTTAGTTCAAGGAAGCAATTAAATTAGTGGAGCACATTATGTCGAGCTCAGTGAAATGATTGGATTTTCAGATTGTAATGGAAAACTCTGTCTTGTGTTCTAAAAAATAAATTAAATGGACGGTTTACTTTTGTGAAAATAGCAGTCAAAAAGGTCATTTACAATTCGGCATTTTTTTATTCTGAATATAGCGGCCGCGAGAAATATTTATTGGTTTTTTCTTTGTAGTACGTATTTTTATCGCTAAACTTCACATCGTTATGGCTTCAGCTTTTTTAAATCTTTTTCATAACCCTATTGTTTCATACCTTGCACAATCATTCATGTTTTGAAATCCTTAATATTTCTGGACTAAGGTCCACTCCCTCGCGAATAATATGACATTTGAAAAAGTACGAAATAAAACCCTCCGTTACATGATCTCTCTTCAAAATGTCACGTAAAGTATGATTCTCAAAACGGAATGTTCGAAAATTTACTCCCGAAGAGGATTAAAATATTTAGAATCATCATTAGAGTAATGCCGAAAACACAGAAGACGTCATTTCTATGTTGTCCGTTATCATTTGTGAAGGTACATTTTATGTGTACAGGTTTGCGGACTTATCTCGGAGCAGAAGGAGTAATAAACTACGGAAGGCTTTTAACTGACGTAATCCTAATGGTAGACGAGGCTCTCTGCGACGAGTTTCTGCTTAAGCCTGCAGGTATCCGGATCCTCTCTTTCTAAGGGGTTAAAAAAATAAACGAAATGTTATCGTTCTCGATCATGGCGATGTACAACATATCTTAACAGTCGTCAATTTTTTTAAAGAAAAAAGAGGAGCCCTCTTTTTTAAATTCTCACAGAATTTCAGAACATAACTTGTAGAGTTGTATTTGAGCCTATGAATGTGCCACTAAAAGTTCATATTAGGTTGGTTTCACGGTGGAGGACTCTAAATTTCATGTTCCCTGAGCTTCTCGGGGTCGATTACATGGGAAACCGTCTTTTTCTGGAGAATCGACGTCAATTTTGCGACCAAAGAGGAATCTTGAGAAATTTTTGGCGGGGGCGAAGCCCCCCTCCTCAGGGAGTTACTTTTTGCCATTCAGGGGGTCTACTAGAACTCTTAGGAGTCACTTAAGATGTAAATGTGTTCTGCTCCTCAATTTGGATGCAATCAATTTGCGATTCGGAAAGGAGCCCCGATTTTTAAAATTGGGCCCCCCCGTTTACCCTTCAAGGGGGGCTAGAGGAGCTTCGGGACCATGAAATTTGGATTTCTCGAGGTCGATTACCTGGGAAACCGTCTTTTTCTGGAGAATTTACGTCAATTTTGAGACCAAAGAGAAATTATGGAGGGGGGCTTTGTCTCCCTCTTTAGGGGGTCATTTTTGGGCCTTGGATGGTTCGATTTTGGATTTTTAGGGGTCAATTCCACGTGGAATTTTCCGTGCTTTTCAATTCTGATGCGATCTATCCGCAATTTGGTCGGCAACCGTGACTTTCAGCATCGTGACCCCCCCTTTACCCCCAAAGGGGGGGTGGGGGGGTTTCGGGACCACGAAATTCGGATTCCTTGGGGTCGATTCCCTATTCAACCCCGCGGTCTCCGACTTCGTGCGACCTGAACCAACCGAGAAAAAGGCCTGGTACGGGTGGTCTGAAACACCCTGTATATAAATGGCCGAAAAGGTGCTGTCTGTTACGCTGACTCTTTACCACGCAACAGACAGCACATTTTCGGCCATTTATATAATACTAATTGAGAATTAGAGCAATAAATCATTAGAAAACGTTATAATACATAACCCTTTGAAGATTAATGCGAGAAAATTCGAGTGATTAACATTTCCACTAAAAATATGACCGAAAAATGTGTCGTCCGTTGCGGCGACAAAACTATTCCGGTTATCGTGAAACCACCCTTTACAACTTTTACAAACTGACCACCCTGGTAAAAATTGACGATAGGAGCTGCGTTTCAAAATACCATAGGAGTTCTTATAGCCGACTGAAAAAGGCGATAGAAAATCATATAGCTGGCTGTAGGAAGTGGAAAAAATCTTACGGCCGGGCTACATGAAGCTATAAAAAATTATACTGCCAGGCTAAAGTTCCTATCGCCGGGCTTTACACTTTATCGCCTGGATGTTGCTTTGTCGCCATCGATTATAATAGGCTATAAGAAAGTGTGTAGAAATTCGTCTGCTTTGGAAATCATTAAGTTTGATACGGAGCCACCTTAATATTTACAAAACACACATTGTATTTTTCTTTAATACATATTTTTTTTTCATCAACTGGAATGAGAAAAATCCATACAGGATATGCAAACGTTTCAAAATCATGAATTGAATAACGCTGACTCCGCCAGATTAAATATTAGAGCCTAACACAAAGCGGAGCGGCGACGCACTGGCGCCTACAAACCTAACAGGGATACTTCACGCATTGCGCAATGCGTGAAGTATCCCCGTAAGGTTTGTAGGCACCAATGCGCGTTTCGCGCTGGCTGCCCGCCCGCCGCGCCGCAGCGTACCACGGCACTTGAAGTAACTATTTCACACCAGAGGTATTGCACATTATCATACAAAATTTAAGGCGCTCCAACATATTAGGAATGGCAGGCATCCTTCAAAAGTATGGAGCTTTCCTCGCAAAATAAATCAAGATACTATGGCCCAAAAAGAGAGCGGTAGGCCAAAAACTCACCAAGTCCTAGCATCCGTAATTAGTAACGTTTAGCATACACTTTATCGCCGGGCTGTTGCTTAATCGCCATCGGCTATAAAAGGCTATAAGAAATTGTGTTGCCGGCTATAGAAGCTATTGGAAATCTCCAGCCGGCTGTAGGTCTATGGTATTTTGGAACGTAGATTCTACTGCCAATTTTACCAGGGCAAATTAGCTCTAAAACTAGCTCTGAATTACTACTCAGCTAAAAAAAAAAAAAAAAAAAAAAAAAAAAAAAAAAAAAAAACCTACAAATAAGTTTAACCGCTTGTTCGTCCAAGCTTTGATTTTTTTTTATAAAATCGCCGGGGACTGTTCCAGTCGTATGTAAGCCACCTTTGCGATTTCCTTTCCTGGTCCTTGCCTTAAAGCCTCCTACTCGAACAAATTACTATATTTTTCAAAATAACTTTTTTCAGTTATGTCTCTAGCTTTCTTCGTCATTTTCAAAAAAACTGAGGGCATGAAATATTTTACGTAATTTAAAAAAAAGAGGATGAAAGGTTGTTTCATGGTTGCCTTAAAAGGGAGAGAATGGTCAAAAATTCGGCAAAAATTTTTACGTCGTATCAAAACCGTCCCCTCCGAAGTTTTTGTGTAGTCAACTTGTTAAATCCATTCTGTATTCATTCGTTCTTGGTTTTCATGAATGTTAAATTGTCCCAAGGTGTTCCACCATCGGTGGGCTCTTCTGTCCTGATTGCAGTATTGGAAGGATCGCAGTTGACCGTGGCAAACGTAGGCGATTCCCGGGGTGTCATGTGCGATTCTGATGGATTACCAGTTGCATTGTCCTTTGATCAGAAACCTTCCAGGGTGAGTCTTACCTTTCAATAAAAAAAAATTGGACGTATTTCTATCAAACGGGACTATGTGCATTAAGACATGAGCCCTGAGACCCAGAAGAGTATATGCATAACAGGTCTCACGTCATAATGCACATAGCTCCGTTTGAAAGAAATGCGTCCAACTTCTTCCCACGGGGGCTTTTAGCCCCTCGAAGTTTCGAAACATCGCTTTCAGTCACGCTAACATTAGCATTTTTAAGGTGAGTAGCAGATAAAATTAGGCATTAGTAGAAAGGAACTCACAATGGAAATAGTGCCTGTAAAGCTCTCTTACATGAGTCGAAAAGTCGAGAGTACGTGTACGTATTTATGCTAAAAGCAACATGTTGCACGCAAACCCTATATCGACGGTGAAACTACCAAACCACGTATCTCGGTTTGCGACGTCGCAGACTTCCTGTCATACTTTATTTTTTAAATGAAAAACTACTTAACGTCCAGTCTTGAAAATTTCTGCGATTTGTCCTCTTCGTGCGGAGAAAATTCTGTGAAAATTTCAAGAAATGATATTGATTTGGTCTACTTCAAAAAAATAAAATGCGAGCGTAGATTTTTAAACACCGCAAACGAGATACGTGGTTTGGTAGTTTCACCGTCGATATGCACATAATTCCTTTTAGCATAAATGTGCCCATATGTAATACTAAAAACAGGTGAAAGATTTACCTGGAACAGAAAAAACTAAAATAAAATCAATCTATTGATTCGTTATTTAAACGAGGTTTATTCACGCTGCAGTAAAAATTTAAAAAAAAAAAAAAAAAAAAAAAGTTCAACAAGATATTTTTTTGATAAACTGCATTTGAATCAAACTAAGGAGGGAGGAACAGAGCCACATTTAGGGTCGTAATTTTGAGTGTACTGTGATCTAGTTATTAAAATTGATAGGAAAAGCTATATACAAAGAGGGTGTTGAGAAAATGGGCCGATCTTATTGGTGAGCCTGAGTGTAGTCAGTGGACAAAGATGGCCTAACTAACCAGAGACTATAACTACGGCAAACCTCGAGAGATCCATTACCAACGTTAGTCCATCATTTTGCCCCTTGGTCTAATACAACTACCCGTCTCAACGAAAAAGATCACTCATTTTTCTTTCGTCTTCTTTGTCTTTCACCTGCTCTCTAAATTTTAAAATCAGCCCGCAGACTCCTCTTTGCTTACTTTACACTATCGCATGAGCTTCATTCCCAGTTTTTACGTCCATTAACCGAAGGCTCCGGGTTTTGCAAATCAAACTTTTCATTCGAGAAGCTCGTCGAACCTAAATCATAGAAGTCACGTCTCTCTATATAGCGAATATGCGAAGCGAGGCGCCTATTGAATTATATTGAACGGATAAGGAGACTCTGTGTACGCATAACATCCGCCCATTTCAACCAATAGGATCACTCCATTTTAGTCTTCTTCATTTATTGCTTTGCCTACTAATTCAAAAATCAGCCCGCTGTGCTACTCTCTTATTGATTTTATTTTATCTCTGAAAATTGAATGAACGGAATTTTTACAGCCGGACGAAAAGAGAAGGATCCAGAAAGCAGGTGGAACGGTGGTATACGCGATGGGCGCGTATCGCCTTGACGGCTACTTAGCGCTGTCAAGGGCCATAGGGCCCCACCCTGGGAAGAAGGAAAAACACCTCATCGCCAACCCCGAGGTGATCACCTTCGATCTCTCCGATTATAAACCGCAATTCTTGGTGCTGGCGACCGACGGTCTCTACGATGTCCTGAGCAGTGCTGATGTCGTCGCTTTTCTTCTGACGAGACTTCACGAACCGGATTTCGGGGCGAGGAGTTTGGTCCAATTAGCTCTTCTGATGAGATCAACTGATGATATCACGGTCATGGTCATTAATTTGAAAGATCAAAAATTGCCCGAACCCAAAAGGGCAAGGAGGGTTGGATTTTTTAAACATCGGGCGACGAGTTTTGCACGCAAACATTTACCCTCTGGGAAAAAAACACCCTCTACCAAAAAATCACCTTCTAGCAAAAAATTACCTCCTAGCGAAAAATCACCCTCCAGGATTTCTGTTCCTCCTCCGTCTCCCCCTCCATCAGAGGAGAGTTCAAAAGTGCCAACAAAACAGTGATGGGAAGTGTTTACTTTGTACTGTGTGAACGCAATATATTTCGGTGTCCAAAGGACAATACAGCCTATCTACAAACTGACAATTTTGCAGGATGAAGAGAAAACTTCGCCATTTTAGTCATTTTAAGGTTGAATTCGCAATTTTTTCGTACAATGCAGCGCTTTGCTACAGAATTGGAAAAAAACTAAAATCATCAGCTTCCTTATTTAATACTGTAGAACACGACAAAAGTCGCTAACTCGTTTTTTCCAAAATTGTAAGCAAGGCGATATTGTTAACCTTTGATTTGTCTCCTAAATCTATGCTCATATAGGTGTCAACTGAATGTATAGTCCTCATTTTCTTATTTTAAAAACATGCAAGATGGATATCGACGGTGTAAGTCCGCAATCGCATATCTCGTTTGCGGTGTCTGAAAATCTCCGCCTCTGTGTTATTTTCTTAGAGGAGAAAAAATTGACATCATTCCTTGAGGTTTTTGCAGAATTTTCTTCATACAGAGAAGAAATATCACGGCAGTCTTAAAGAATTGCCGTTGAGTAGTTTTCCGTTTAAAAAATAAAGTATGTCAGGAAGTCTAAAATATCGTCGATATGTTATCCTAGTATTTATTTATTTTTTCCTAATCATTTACACAAATAGGTATCTATTTCGTGCCAAAAAACTCAAAAAGGGGTAATTGGTATGGAATGTTGGGTGAGATTTTAGCTCTTCTGATAGGAGCATCCAACAAAATCACGGTAACGGTGCTTTATGTATAAGATAAGAAATGGCCGATGCCCATAGATCAAGCTCCTTGAACAAGGAGAAATGAGTTATTGAATAATCGAGCATTGAGCTTTGGATGAAAATTTAGAGGTCTGACTGTGAGTAAAAGTCGTGTAAAATCACCTCCCGGCCAAAAATTATATCTTACGAGAGCCTTCATAGTTAGTCCATAATTTTCCTCCTTTCTTCATTGAAACCACCCGCTTCCAACAATGAGATCTCTTCATTTTTCCTTTGTTCTTTTCCTGGAAATTCAGTTATTTTTTCATTTCATACTTTTTTTGAAATTCCAGTTTAAATTTGAAAATATTTTGTTTTTCCTGAAACGTTTAAAAATACGGCATGAATGCTCAATCAAGCTCTGAAAATGATTGAAACGACCTTCAAATGGTCCAAAATTCAACTGAGGATTCTTTTCAACATATTCAAAGTCAGAAAAAGTTGGTGACGTAGCCAACGTGCGTTGAGAATCAGCATATACAGAGGGAAAAAGCTCATATGAGCACAATTTTTCCAAATGGATGGGATGGGTCCAATCAGACACAAATCGCGTCTGCAGTTACCCTCCTGAATGGTCATAACTAGAGTTGCACCAAACAGCACATCCCTGTGAGGGTAAATTGTGCTTATATAAGCTTTTTCTCTCTGTATTGAGATTTTCAGCTTTATGCTAATTTTTAACGAATGTTGGTTACGTCACCAACTTTTTCTGTCTAAATGACTTGTGCGTCTGCTGCAATCAGTTTTTATTTTCAAAGTCTTAAATCGTCAAAATCGAGCAATAGAGAATTTGCAGGTGTCTGAAATTTGATGAATTTCGTGTTTAAGTGGAAACTGCTGAGTGAACTAAACATGAGGATACCCTTGGTTCATGAATTGAACAATTTTTGGAGAAGATATGATAAAATGATTTAATCTGCTAAAATACGTGTGTTTAAACAGGAAATGCAGCCGGATGACGTCACAGTTTCTCACTTTTAAATCTATTTTTATACTATTTCCCATATCAGAAAAAAAAATATAAAAAATACTGTGAAATCAGCTCTTTAAGCACTTTTAGATGAAGCAATAAACAAATTGCATGCAAATTCTCCATTAATTTGTTTTTGCAATCTAGTGGAGATTATTTGCCTAGGTATTTCACATAATGCCTGATTTAATTGTAAGTCTGCGACATCTGTATAAACCACCCGTTTTAGCTAATAGTGGCTTAGTATCACCCCTTCTTATTGTCTTCTTTGTCTATCGTATTGTCTATGGATGCCAATAATCGACCCGCTGAAGAGGGCAAGAAGGCAGGCGGGATTAGAATAACTAAGCGTAATCACGGGGAGCGGCCGAGCGGGGATTCAATAAACTCGGAGCGCGAGAAAGCGGGACAAGATCCGAGCGAAAGCTCCAATATTTCAGCCCGGAATCGAATCAAGGCAACCAAAGGCACTCGTCCAGAAAGGACGTGTCAACCGAGTCAAGTGCTCGCCCCGTCTACCAAACCGCCCAAGTCCCTTCCCGCGGAGGCCGTGGAAAGCCTCGAGATATACGGGCGGTAGGGCTTACCCCCAAATGCATTTACGCGCTTCATTCAGCTGAACCGCCGGAAAGACGAAGTTATGGTCGCTGCACACTGGGCTGCTTGACATCAAAACTTGGCCAAAAATGTGGCTGCACTAGGGAAGCGCGTAAAGCCGGGAAAATTTAGAAAAAGACAGTGCAAGGAAAGCGCGCAATTAATCATAGCAAGGAAAGCGCACAAAGAATTAGGGGTTGAAGTGCGTAAGTGTGAGTCCTCCGGAAACTCCAGGCAGAGACACATTTAAAACTTTCAAAATCACAAAAAAAGCGAACGACAAAAGCAGAAGATAAAATTCTCAAGACCATGGCAGCGTACGTCATCTGCAACCTCTCAAATCTCCTTGCTTACTTAGAGGATATCAAAATTGCATGCTTGCCCACTTCAGCTTAATCTGCCTCTTAGGTAAGATTTACACACATACACACACACCCCCATCTTTCGCGCGCAATCCTGTTCATTTTTTGCGCGCTTCTCTGGTTTACCGAAAAATGTCTAACTGCGTCAATGGAGGATTTCCAAAAAAAAAATTGAATTGCTTCATTGGAAAGGGCTTAATGGACTAAGTTCACAGAATTTTGTATAGGTACCATTTTCCCGTCTAACGCGGGTGGCATTTTCCATTCTGTCACGAGTCTGTTCGGCTGTGAAAAAATTTTCTACCGAAAAGGTAGCTATTCCGTGATTTAAAAAAAAATATTCAGGACTAAATTACCCTTGGCGCCACAGATATTTTCCTGGTTTTACCTAAAATTGCCAGGGGAAAAATTGACCGCATTTAACAGCGTTAATCACCGTAAAACACACAATAACTCTATTTAACTGAAGCAAATCAAGTAAAAAAAATGAACCACGCCGATGTATCATTATACTAGTTACACGACACTTAAGTGATGAATTGTTTTTCATGTTTTTAGCAAATGTAAATAAAACAGTAGATGATATATGCTTTTAGAAAATTTAGAAAGTATAATTTTTAACAGCTGAACTGTTATTCTTAAACCAGAAAAGTCCTGACCATTTCTTATCATTCAACCATTCTACATTTCAATTTGTCAGCAAACGCGCTTGTAAAACTTTGGCTGGAAGGTGATAATGTGTGGAAGAAAAATACAACATTGCAATGCTACCATACTAAGAAAAAACGTCGTCAGAACATTCAAGGATTCCCAAATTTTCTCTGATAGAATGTTTATTTTAGGATATTTAAGGTCATTTTCTCTTGGAACATTCGCATAATTTAGATCTAGACTAAGTGTTGAAATGGTACTAAGTCCACACCGTTTCGCGGGGAAAATAAAGCCAAAAAGTTCCAAAAATTTCAATTAGAATAAAAAATTATTGAGCTCTAATGAATACCAGTACAAGACTGAGGGGGAGAGTGTTCAGCTTCAAGTGTTTTTTTTTCCTCGTTTAGATTTAGATCTGATTGTGAATATTTCCCAAAAAATTCATCGAAAAAGTATCTACACATCTCCCTGAAAATTCATGTCATCAAGAAAATTTGGCAACGTCTTAAGGTTCATGGGCCAATCTTTTTTATCTCGCCAGACTAAAGTTACGGCGGTTTTTTTTTTTTTTTTTTTTTTTTTTTTTTTTTGTGGCATGAAGTTCAGGTTTTACAATTGGACGTATTTCTATCAAACAGATTTATGTGGAGGTGAGAATAATGGGGTGTGCTCGTCAGTTCTCTGGCCGTAAGAGTGGATGAGAATAATAAAGCGTCAGTGACGTCAACGGAGATGGATGCCGTCGTGCAGCTCGCCTCGTTGGTCACTAACTCATGAGCCCTGTCCACGACGCTCTCCTGCCATGCCCGCGGCTCATGAATCCCCCATTCAATTGGCACATGGTTCTATTTGCTCAATTTAAAATCCCGCTTTTCCAATTTCTCAAAAGGAATCACGCCCACTGACCACGTTGTTTCTTATTCAGCTTTCTAGAGCGCACCCCATATTTCTCACCTGCACATAGTTATGTTTCGTAGAAATACGTTCAATTTTGTGTGTTCACTGTCCAGTGTGCGCCAGGGATGAAGACGAGACTCGGGCGCTGCTAATGCGATGCACCCTTGTTTGTGCTTGGTGCGCGGGGCGCGGGGCAGGGGGCGGCGGAGTGGCGGAGTCTAAACGGCATTAAAGGCCTTGGGCTACCCCTTGCGGCCCTTGCGGCCCTTGCGGCCCTTGCGGCCCTCGGTGGCCCCTCGGCCATGGCCCCGGTCTCGGCTCGGCTAATAATCGGCTGACAATAGTCGAGAGCGTTTAATGTGTGCGCAGATAACTAAATATGTTCTCACCCCTGTTAGTCGCGGCCTCGCAGCCTCGCGGCATCTCATCGGCCCGGCAAAGTGATTAGTCTCGATCTGGAGCGTAGCGAGGGCCCCGAGTCCGATCTACTTAGCAGATATAATCCCGCCGCGTGTGCCTGTGCGTCCATGTATCCTCATATCCCAGAATATATACATTATATACTCTGGGTTTTTCTTATCATACAGGGTGTTTCATATCCCGCGTGCCAGGGGTTTCTCAAGAGACAGAGAGACCCTCTACTCTTCCGTGCTAAGGAAAAACGTCGTATGAGCCTTCAGACGTTACCAAATTTCCTTTGATAAAACAAGAATTTGCTGGTAAACTGATGAATATTTTCCTTACAGTTTTTAAGA